AAAAATAATAAAAAAAATAAAAAATAAAAAATAAAAACATATTGTAAGTGTAATCTTGTGTACAACGATAGCAAGTCATCGTATAAATGATAATCTGACACCTAATTGTCACGCCCCATCAAAGTGTTGGGAGGTCGTGCCTGCTTGACATATGTGGAGAGTGGGTTCTACAATCTTCCACACTTGTGTGAAGTATTTGAAGAATTCAAGAAAGTTGTGGCAATATTAAAAAATATTTTAAAAAGTAGTGTAAAGATAAATATCTACAATATTTTAGAAGATAATTTTAGGGAATAAATTATAGATTCTTGCTATGTATTAGGGGGATGGATGCCTATAGCCACATAAGTGACACGTCACTCATGCACTCTGTCTACTTGACGTATTTGGAGTGTGGATTCTATAGTCTTCCACAATTGGGTGAAGTATTGGACTATTAGAGGATTCAAGAAAGTTGTAATAATATATACAATAAAAAATAGTTTTTTAAAAGGAGAGAATAGTGTAGAGATCTAAATATCTACCCTATTACATTCTAGTTATGAATTAGAGGGATTGATGCCTATATACGGAGTGTAGATGTTATTTGTATTCAATAACTTTGAAGGGTATAACAGTTTCAAGTGAAAAAGAAAAAATTAATGAATTAACAGTTTCAAGTGAAAAAAGGGTTACAAACTCAGTGTTTTCATGATGCCCAAATACAAAGAAAATCTTATTTTATATTAGGAAATGATTTTCTCACCTCCTCTTTATTCTAAGAAAATATTATTCTATATTGATAAATGATTTTCTCACCTTCTCAACATTTACTCTAATTTCTTATATTTTTCTTTTTCTTTGTGGTGATCCGCCTATACAAAAAATTTAATGAATTAATAGTTTTAAGTAAAAAAGGATAGAAAAAGAATTCACCTATTTCTCCCCCCTTCTTTTGTTCTTCAAATTTTTACGTATTAATTTTTATTTTTATAATATTATCTATTACCATAAATATAAACTTTTGAAGAAATAATACATTAACATGAACAAAGCAAACAGAATATTACGTACATCGTAACAAAGCATGCTGAGATTCAACTCGGAGCATCTCATCCAAGAACACATCTTTTCTGCATTGTCTAGGCAAATATCCTAACACATGAGTCTCTTATGAACAAAACGAACATTGGCATCACAAAAATGTCTTAAACAAATTCTAAAATACTGAATGATAGATCTATAAAAACCGGATTCGTCCTAAGACTTAAAATTGTCTTGACCACAAACATCTGTACCACTCTCAAAAAATACTTTCTCGAGACCCATTCATGAGCCAACATCAAAGGCTTTCTCAACCCCATGTATAGCTTCGGCAGTGGTTGGATCTGATTGAAAATAAATCAAAGCAACCTTTACGACTCTACCTTCCTCATCTCTAGCAACAGCCCCCTCCCAGCAATATTAGAAGACTCGCAAAATGAAGCACGGTATTAACCTTGACCCAACCCACTTGAGGCTAATTGTTAAAGATTTGTTCCACATCATATTCGGATCGGAAATGCAATGGGTATAAAAGGGTAGTGTGTTAGCTCCACTTACGCAAAATATTTTTCTGGGAAAATATAATTTTTTTTTAGGTAAAATATTTATTTATTTATTTATTTTTCAGTTTGGTCGAGGTTAAAATCGAGTCTATCAGAGTATGTAAAATAATGTACCAAAAATTGATAAATAAATTATTTTTGTTAAGTTTTAATATTTTTTTTTTTATAAATACGACAATCAAACACCAAAAAAAAAAAAAAAAAATTAAAAAAATTAAAAAATATTTTACGCTGCCATGCAATGATCACTGCGGGAAGTAATTTGCCTTGAAAATCGGAGAGAACAACCAATCTTACTCCACTTGCAAGCTCCAGAATAGTCATCTCCAAAGGTAACGAAAATATATTCAGAGATGCTATCCAATCTTTGAATGTATTCAACTTCTCTCCCTAATTAATCTGGCAATGGCCGCCCTGACATCTTCAATATAAGTATTTATGGAATATATATATATATATATATATATATATATATATATATGTAAATTTAAAACAAATTCAAAAAACATACATATAATAGACCACAATAAAATTGAAAAAACAAACTCAAGTTTGTAAACTTGACTAATTAATCGAATTTAAAGCAATTGGAGCCAATAATGTTATCAAAAGAAGTTAAGTCCGTGTTCATATCATTTTTTTTATTATTATTATTTTTCTTTATAAAGAACGAAAAAAATATTTAATGTATAAGGGCAATGACTTAATTACATGATCTCTTTATGAAAAGATGGAGATGTATGGCTAATCTAAACACTGCATGCATGCGTTATATTGTTGTTGAAAATGAATTGTAATTAATTTATGAGGCTTCATGGTCACGTTGGGACATCTATACAGTTGTGTAAAAGGAATGGATCATAATCAAGCCCACAAAGTACTACTGTATATGTGTTGATCTAAACAGCTCACTAGTATCTGCACAACTGGGTGTACTTTGCATGAGATAAGAGGATTGTGGTCCCCAAGTTAAATCAATGTTGGACTGACATCATACACTTTTTAACGCACTACATCTATTTTTAACGCATTGCATCTATTTTTTTAACATAGCACGGAGTAATTTTCAACACACACATAACATATATATATAAATATATAACACATTACATATTTATTTTTAGCTCTAATTATTTTATATTTTTTATGTAAAAATATATTCGTCATACTTATACCTACATAATTTTTATAAACCTACTCATATAAAGTTCATTAGTTAATGGAATTAGAAAAGGGGAGAAGAAAGGAAACATGTTGATGTGACTGTATAAAAAAATTATGTAAAATACACAACAATTTTACTCATTGATAACGTGGCAATACATCTTAACATATTACTGGAAATAAAATAAAAAAATAAAAATTACACATCATAAGTGTATATTTTACACAAAAGAGTATTTTAATAGAGTGATGAAGATGTTCTTATTAAAAAATAAGTAAACGTAGATAAATTAAACCTGTTTGAGATTGTTTTTCAACTACTTAAATGCATTTTTATATTAAAAAAATTGTGTTTAAGTGTATTTATTAACTATTAAAAGCAATTTTAATGGTTATCAATTTTACCTCAGTAGAACTTCTTGAATAAGATTAGACAATTTTATCTCTATTTTTTCATTTTTTTTTTATAAAGATAATTTTAGTCCTTTTTTTTTCAAGTTATTATTATCAAATATGGTAATATTAAATTAAAGAATATTATTGTAAAATTAGCATTATGGTGTTTTAAAAAGATATTGTTATCAAACAAATTTTAAAATAATTTAATTATAAAAGTATTTATTATAGGGTTAAATACAAAAAAACCCTCGCTATATATAAAATGTGTAAAAAACACCCTATTAAAAAAGAAAAAAAGAAAAAGAAAAAGGGCATATAACTCACTGTATTATCTATCTTTTGAGCAAATTGCTCCCTATTGAATAAATAGGATGAAAAGTAGCCATTGGATATGTCATTTTTTCTAAAAATCCAAAAGTACCCTTTTTGTGCAACAAGAATGCCTTTACCAATTTTGTATATATTTGAATAGTGAATGAGTTTATTTTGATGTACTTGAAGATCAATTCAAGGAAATCTTCTCTCTAATATTATTTTTCCCTCTCTAAAATATTTCTATGTTGCCATTTAGCAATTTGTTTCTAATAAAACTATCATTTTTATTTTTTATTTTTTTAGGATACTATATTTTATTTAGTACGTCAAGTGAGATTCTAGCATCTTTACATCATTTTTAATTTTTTTAGAATATTATTTATTTCAATATATATATTTATATATATATAAACACGATCTTTCTTGCAAATATTCTTTTATAATTTTATAAATTCTATATATTTTTCTTCCATTCCTAAAACTCTCATTCTATAAGAAAATAAAATCTCTCTCTAAATTTGTTTTCTTTCTAAATTTTTTTTTGTGTTGTTGATAGAATCTCCTTCTAAAACAGAGCACCTAAATCAGCAAGCCCCTACAAATTTCATAATATCAGCAGAGAGCACAACTTGGAAGATGTTGCTTGACCCGCTCAAAAAAATCAGCAATCTAATTCTAATCTCTTCAAGAAGATCAAGAGAAAAAATTAAGAACTAATTACAAAATTTCGGTATAAATAGATAGAAATCATAAAAAATGAGATATGTAAAAAATATAGGGAAAATAAATAGAAAATAACTTTTTGTAGTAAGATGAGGCAACGTAAAAACAATATTAGGAAGTTTGAATCAATTTTTTAAGTATTTTTATTTGTGTGGACTTGTTTAGTTTTTATCTACAAATTTTTACACTTATACATTCCTTCTTCAAATTTTAACTTTAAACATGAATACAACATGCCATTCCTTATTAGTTAAGCAGTGTCGTCTTAAACTTTTATAAATAGTTTATGAAATAAAAGATAAATTTAAGGTTAATTTTGATATTTTACCTTTTTTTTTTTAATGATAAAATAAGATTAACTTAGTAATTTTACTGTCAAAATTATGATTTATCTTTATCACAAATTGAAAAAAATAAGAAAGTTCTCTGAATAATAAGAAGGTAATTGCACATTTTGTATGGTACCAGAGAATTTTTCACACTGAACCCTATATTATAAAATATATACTACACACCTAATATATTTTTTGCTAATATAAATTTTTGATAGCTCTAATGACAAAAGCGCGTATATTATTTTAACGGCATTTCCAAATGAAGTAATCTGAGTTGGAACTAATCATCACCAAAATTTACGACGGAGGATTCGGCAGCATGGAGATATTGGTAGGGTTGAAGGGTATATTGGTCATTTCAGTGAAAGTATTGGTCAAGGACATGACAGCCGGGTGAAGACACCGAAGAGTCCAGCGTGTTGATTCGGAGGAGTTTGGGGACAAAAAAACCAGTAAAATAATTGAATGACAAAAGCATTGCTTTATCTTTGACCCCCCTCTCTCTCTCTCTCTCTTTCTTTCCCTCATTTGCCCAATCAATTTTATTACTACTACTCTCAAGCATCTCTTTCCCGTTTCTTCTCTTTCTTTTATTTCTCATCCCCACACCCACAGGTATCAACAGGCAATGAGGAGCTCCTTTACACACTACTGTTTTTCATCCAAAGCAAACCATTGGCTTCTCATCCTCTGAAATTAGGTTAGGTATCTTTTTTATGGGTTTGTGTCTCTTTAAGTTCTACTCTTGCCTTTTGCAACTTTTCTGATTTTGGATTTGTGTTAGGGTTTGCCAGATTCCTATTCTCAACTGATCAAGATTTGTTTTTTATTTATTTATTTTATTTTCAGTTTGACCCTTAATCGTGTTTATGTGATTGCTTCTGATTAGTTCATTTAAATGGGATTATTGAAAGCTATAATGAAACTGCATTTTTTGAGGAACTGACCTAATTGAATATATATCTTTGCTTTATGGTGGCCCTTGAATCTTTTGTATTCGTTCCGGGGTCTTTCTTTTGTTTTTTTGGGTTTATTTTGTTTTGTAATGACTTTTCTCTGGGAAAAATGTGGTTCTTGAATTGCTTGATTGACTGTTAATCGTCTTCTGATTCTGCATAAATATACTTTTACATTTTGGCTGAGAGTCTGCATCTAGTTCTGTTCCGGGAAACAAAACAATATCCAGGGGTATAAAATTGTTCTAATGGCATTGATTTTAGTTCTAATTATTGATTGTTAATGAAAAATAGCATATTGACTCATCTTCGATGCTGTTGAAGTGCTTTGTATGACTATTGGCTAATTCTCTTTCCCTTTGTTTCTCCTATTTTGTAAATTATATGTAGTTTTATGTGGTGTGAGGTGCTTTCTCGATCCAGTTGCGTGATCCTCATGCTATGTTTGGGAGCACCAAATCGGTGGATTGGATTTGGAATTGGAAGAAATTTAGTTAAAACTTTGAACAAAATTTGCTCCGATCCCAAATCCAAAGTAAACTATTCAGCGCGCCCAAACTCAACATCAGTGTTTGAATCATTTAACTTGGAGTTGATTGTGCCACAAAGCCCCAATTTCGCTTAGATTTTGAACTTGGATTCATAATTTCCTCTTTTCTTGTTCCGAGTCGGAAAATTCCTTCGATCTCTATATCCTCCTTAATGAGGAAGATACTATGGAAATTTATTATCTTTTCACATCTCCTGTTGGAGTGGGAAGCAGTTTTTTTTTTTTGGTTGTTGGTGATCATTTAATTGATTGGCAGTTTCTTGTTGGCAGAGCTAGAGGAGTATACATGTTGGGTCGCTGATGGAAGGTATTACAGTTATGAGAATGGGTGATGACTGTTGGATTTGTTGGATATGATCTGTATGAAGTGTATCTGTTTCATCTGATGGCCTCAAAAACAGGTGCCAGATCTTCCCCTCAACAGCCACAAAAAGCTCCTGGTGCTCATCGAACAGAGGCTGATAATGGCAGGGCTTTGACTTCACAGGTCTCAAAGACAAGCAAACCCCAGCTGGTTACTGCCGAAAAATTACCAGTATCTGGACATATAACAACAAAGCAGGTTATAGTGGATGTTTTGAGGAGTGAAAAGTCACCAAGTGGTGAACAAGCATCAACAATAGTAGCTGCTGCAGTAAAAGAGACAAGAAGCTCATCAGGAGTATTGGTTGATCAAGAAAAGAGAACATCTGAGAACAGGAGCATGAAGAATAGCTCAGTTTCTGCCAAAATTAGTGACGGGGCCAGTAGTTTTCCCAAAACCAGTGGAAGTGCCAAAATTAGTGATCATGCTGATTTTGTTGAGAGTGGAAAGAGCAGTATGTGTAGAGGGAGCACAAGCACTGATATCAGTGATGATAGTACTTGCAGCTTCTTTAGTAGCAGCGTCAACAAGCCGCATAAAGCAAACGATTTGAGATGGGAAGCCATCCAGGCTGTCCGAGTGAGAGAAGGGGGCTTGGGTTTGAACCATTTCAGATTGCTGAAGAGGTTGGGCTGTGGGGATATTGGGAGCGTCTATCTGGCTGAATTAAGTGGAATTAAGTGTTATTTTGCAATGAAAGTTATGGACAAAGGGTCTCTAGCAGGTCGTAAGAAGCTTCTTCGAGCCCAAACGGAGAGAGAGATTCTGCAGTCATTGGACCACCCCTTCCTTCCAACTCTATACAGCCACTTCGAGACGGATAAGTTTTCATGTTTGGTGATGGAATTCTGCCCTGGAGGAGACTTGCACACTCTTAGGCAGAGGCAACCAGGAAAATATTTTACTGAGCAAGCTGTAAAGTATGATATCTTCTAATCATATCTTCATTTGAAGTAAACTTTTAACAATTAATTCCTATGCATCTGGGTTATTTTGCTGAAGTACTAACGTAGAAAAAGCTGAATGGATAAAACAATCTCACACTGAGATCATAACGAAGCCAAAGCTTCAAACTCTAAAGAGTTCTAATTTTATTTTTTCTCAATTCATTCAAGATGGGTGAATTACTCTTCAGTACAACATACATAGTTATATGTAAGCTTGCGTTACAAATCAGGCTTTTAGCCTTCCTATATCTACTCTATAGCTTACAATATATTACTTTAATCAAAACACTTTCCTATTATTTTTGCAACACATTTTATTACATTCACACTACAAATCTTCAATTGCTGCGCCTGTTCGGCTCCTTGTTTATTGTTGCCCGGACACATTTTCATCTCCACCGTCAAGCACACATTTTAGCTAGCTTTTCCATTTCTCTTGTTTGAACTATTTCCCGACACATATATGTAAAACTATTACTACATGTAGACTTTCCAACCTATGACATCATCATACTATTACTCACACACACACACACACACACATATTATATTACCACATTAACACATGAAACACCAATTGCTTTCTTTCTTTCACATTTATAGCATTGGTCCTACATACTTATCAAGAAAAAAATTAGCATTGGTCCTACATGTCTCCTCCTATTATTACATAGTATATAAATATATGCTATATTATATATTTTAAACCTTTTTTGTCCTACATCAAGTACTTTCTTAAATGCTTACATTCAGCCTCTACTATTGAAGAAGGGGCAAAGATAGATAAAATTGGGATTTGATATAATTAGGTTTAATTTTATTGTTTTTGGTTATTTTTGTAATGGTTGAATTTTAAGGTTATTTGGGTATTCTCATGTTTTAGGGTTTGGTTAATGTTTTGCCTATATAAAGGATTTTATGTAACTAAAGTATTCAGTTTTGGGAATATTGAATTAGTATTGTGAGTTTGCAAACTCCCTATCCTTGTTCTTCTTGTTCTTAATCCCTCCGTCTCTCTAATCTACCTCCTTCGATCTATCTTCTCATCCCCTTCGTCTGTCTTCTCACCTCCATCTTCTAGTCTCATCGAATCTTCTCATTGTCATCCCCTTCTTTCTTTCTGGTTCATATCTAAACACTAGTTGTCTTAAGTCAAAGTTTAGTAGAAGTTAGAGTTTCTTCCTTAATGTATTGGATTGTGGTATTCAAATTTGGAATTTTCTCTTGCATACTGCTGAAATTTATTCCATTAGAATTGCTGGTTGATATATCAAGGCCCATAAAATTCATTCCTGTCCTGCTAGGGTTTTGCCTATTCCAATAAAAACGCGAAAGTTTTGTGGAAACTCTGATTGACTCTGCAAATTTATATTAAAATTTAGAGTCGGAAAATCTGTACCCATTACTATATACAGTTTCCTTTAATGTTTTTATCTTTAATGTTTTTATCACCAAATGGGATGTAGTTCTGTTCCAAATTTCTTCTTTCTTTTTGATGTTCATATTTCCTGTCCAGAAGTAACCTTAACATAGATGCCAAGCATCTCATTTATTATAATTTCTCCCTATCAAATCACTTATAAAAAATTATTGAATATCGTATTTGACTTTGACTAAATCAATAACTTATTAATAGGTAAAATTGAATCAACATTTCTGGAAATGACTTTAGGCATCTATTTTATTTCAAGAAAATTGAGAATTTCTACGAGCTGCTCCGAAGTAAGTTCATGTAAGACTTCCGATTGAATTTATAAGAGTGATGTATTTCATCAGACCCTTGCTAATAGATTAATATAAGCTCTGAAATGGGACTTCGATGCGTAAAATATTCTTTTCATTAGACCCTCGCTAATAGATTAATATAAGCTCTGAAATGGGACTTTGATGCGTAAACTATTCATTTTTTTTTTTTTTAAATATATATATATATATTTTAATTTTTAATTTTTATCAAATGTGCTTCATTAGATAAAGTACACACTACTTACTCTTTTTGGTGCTATTATTCTGTAGTGAAATGTAAACCTAGTTGCAGTTTCCTCTGAGCTTTCTATTCCCCAGATCCTAATGGTTTAACGTAAAGTTTTTTTTTTTTTTTTTTTTTTTTATTGTTTTAGTATGGGGAAAAAAAATTCAATTTTTAATACGTGTCACTATTTGTGTTGATAAATATCTCACACTAATGTGACCCCATAACAAAGTATGTTAGCCAAATTTGTATCTAAAAGGCCACCTATAATTGAAGGCAGGTATACCCATTTGTGTACAGGTCCAGATTCTTGATGACATTAGAGTGATTCTTCCATTTGTTTTTAATTTGTAAACTAATATGATTTTATGGAGCAAATATAGAAAATTGTATAATGTCCTGTCTTTACTCTGTGCTAAAGCATGGATTTTGGGGAGCCTATTTAGCCTATTAGATACAATAAATGATTGTAAAGTTTTTTGTTTATCATTTTATTTTGCAGATTTGCCTATAAGATACAATAAATGATTGTGAAGTGTTTTGTTTATCATTTCATTTTTCAGATTTTATGTAGCCGAGGTCCTGCTAGCATTGGAATACCTTCACATGCTTGGAATTGTCTACCGTGACCTTAAGCCGGAAAATGTCCTTGTGAGGGAAGATGGACACATAATGCTCTCAGACTTTGATCTTTCGCTCCGATGTGCTGTTAGCCCAACTCTTGTCAAGACATCGTCCCTTGAGGCAGAGCCCCTTCGGAAGAACCCTGCTTATTGTGTCCAGCCTGCTTGCATTGAACCTTCCTGCATTCAGCCTTCCTGTGTAGTTCCCACAACATGCTTCTCTCCCCTTCTCTTTTCTAGCAAGTCGAAGAAGGACCGGAAACCAAAGAATGAAGTTGGAAACCAAGTAAGCCCATTACCTGAGCTCATGGCTGAGCCAACCAGTGCACGCTCTATGTCATTTGTAGGGACCCACGAGTACTTGGCACCTGAAATTATCAAAGGTGAAGGTCATGGAAGCGCTGTAGATTGGTGGACATTCGGTATTTTTCTATATGAGCTGTTGTTTGGTAAAACACCATTTAAGGGATCTGGAAATCGAGCCACGTTGTTCAATGTTGTGGGACAGCCTCTTCGTTTTCCAGAATCACCAGTTGTCAGTCCCTCTTCAAGGGATCTTATTAAGAAGTTACTTGTGAAAGAGCCTCAGTACAGATTGGCATATAAAAGAGGGGCAACTGAAATCAAGCAACACCCCTTTTTTGAAGGAGTAAATTGGGCATTGATACGCTGTGCTACCCCTCCGGATATCCCCAAGCTGGTTGAGTTTGATCGAATACCGGCCCCAGCTGCACCAACAAGTGAAAAGACTTCTTCCATTGCTTCTGATAAAAAAAGTTCCGATAACTATCTGGAGTTTGATTTCTTCTAGTTATAACAAGTTGTTTTTATTTAAGGGGAAACATTTGTTCTGAAAGGTTCAGGGATTGTTAATGGTGGGGGACGGCGGAGCTTTCTTATTCATAGATGAACAGAACGGTATGTTTGTTGTTGCTTCCTGTAAAGGTTTCAGATCTGTATTGCTTTAACCATTGCATATACTCCATTCATTTTAGGGTTTTAACTAGCTTGTGCATTATATTGGTCAAACTCTGGACCAAGCTTGTGCTCGGCACCTTAGTGACCTGTGATCAGGAGGACAAATCAGTGGTGGCTTTAAGAGGAACTCAAAATTGGGTACATGATAAAAGATTTCCGCCATCTTATTTGTACAAATATTTTTTGACATTTCTGTGGAAAATCTTTTTCATTGTAGCACCAAAGTTTGAATGTTTTTTGTTGTCATTCTAAGATTGATATGTTTCTTCCTATATTTTTAAATTTTGTTGCGGTTTTTCTTGCTCACGAAAGCATAAAAAAACATTGCGAATTTAAGAAATTTGCGTGTCCTTTATTCTACTCCGTACTACATCTGCTGAATTTGAGAAAGAAACAAAAGTAATGTTCCTGCACTTGATAGATATAAACAAACACCCTTGCATTTGGTAAAAAAGAAGATGGGGATCCAAAATGATCAACTCTGGTTAAATTCTTTAATTTAAATAAATATGGTGATTAAATTAAAGTGGTCAAGTTTAAATTGTGTTTGTTTTAAAATGGAGGGATAGAATAGAGAATTGATAATTATTTGGTTGCCCTCAATTTTTTTTTTTTATAGTGAACTCTTTATTTTATTATCCTTACTACTCACAAAATATAACAAAATCATTCTTCTCTTTTCTCTCCTTAACACCAATGAGGGTTGTTACCATCATTTCAATTTTTTTTTTTTTTAATAAATTATCGAAACACCGGGAGGGATTACTACTATACTCTCCTTTCTTTTTTCTTCTTTCTTTTCTTCTCTCTCGTTAGTGTTATTTTCTCCATTCTTTTACCGCCCTAGTTATCCAAACAAAACTTTGGGCCTATAAAAATTGCTCATTTGGGTTGCTTTCAAAACCTATAAGTAATGGACAGTTTATGAGTTTTGGTCTATTGAATAAAGAGAGACTCATAAGGGGTCGTTGCGAAATTCATCTGCAAATGTCTTGACAACAACGTCTCAGCCACCAACAAATTTTTTATTAATTAATTAATTTAATACTACCAACAATTTCACTTACCACAAATAATAAAAAAATATCTACAATCTCAACTCTCCAAAGCTGACCTATTTTGTGTTTCTTTTACTTTTGACTTTCCCGGTCGTCCCCTACATTGGGGAGAGAGTGCTCCCTCTTTTGCTCGCCTCTTACCAACCCTTCTTTACCGATCCCCAATAGCTTTCACTTTACCAAACTCTATATTATATAATATATATATATATATATATATATATGTGTGTGTGTGTTGAGTAATGATTTGCAACCTAGGTCCTAGGGTTTTTCTCCCCACTGAGTCTATATATATATGTAAATAAAATGTAGCCATTATCCACGACTTCGACTAAGTTGAGTTTAGGTACACGTATCCACAGTTCATACATATATGTTATTTTAAGTATTTTGGTAATGAAACCTATGTGAAATGTGAATGGAACGAGAAGCATAGCCATAATGGTAGCCAATTTTGACCACGCAATATAGTGGTGATTGATGGTCAGAGGTTTAGAGCCACACATTCGTGACCAATTTTAACAGTGTTTACAGCATTCCCCCATAATGAATATAAGCCATATACTATAAAATTCAGAACTTAGTGGTGTGTACTGCTTTTTAACTCTTGTCTTTTTCCTTCCCCTTTCCTTTTCCTCTCTCTTTCTTCCTTTCATTTTCTTCCATTTGGAATATATTATAAAAGAGAATAGACAATTATTTTTGTAACTACCGTCCAACCAAATTCCTTTCATTTTCTTCCAATACACAATTATTTGTTGTAACTTGCATCCAAAGAGAGTGGGTTTAGTCAATTTGAGAGGTCATTTTTTTTTAGATAACATGTCAATTGACCTATCAATTACTGTAATATTTTACTAATTTTCTTTTGTCCCCTATTTTAGATAACATGTGAATTGTTTAATTCATATCACACACACACAAAATAATTCTTAACAAATTAAGCGCATATCTAAGTATTTGATAATGTAATTTAAATATCACTAAAAATATTAAAAATGGTATACGCCAATTAGAATGAAGTAAAATTTTAAGAATTTATGTTTTATCAATTATCACTAAATGCTCAAAATTTAAAAAGATATCAAAGAAATATTTATTTTTAATTATCACTTAAAAACTTCAATACTTAAATTTCAATACTTAATTTTAATTTTATCAAACAAAACTACTACCAGTAATATTACCATTCCTATCTTTCCTTCCAATTTATCCATTTACACCATCATTGTTACAATTACTCTTTAGAATATCAAGAGGAAATAGGTTTGGGATTCTCTCGAGCACAACTTTAGATTCGTATCATTATTAACGTGTTGTATCGCAATATTATTAAGTAAAAAAAATTAATATATTTATATAGTTGTGAATTTAAATTTATTACTTGTTGCATTGTTCGCAAAAATTTAATCGGAGAATATACAATAGTTTAAAAGATTCACATAATTAACCAAACCTCATAATAATTCATATGTAAATTGTAATTTAGTAAATGAACGTGACATTGGAAATCCAAAAGAGCATCTTGCAACACAATCATTGAATTTAAATTTGTAAAAAAGTAAAGTGTGAAATATCTTGTAATATGATTTCCAATTTAGTAAAATTGATTCTTGTATATTGAATAAGATCCATTATATTCTAAAATTATTTCACCCAATAATACTACTTGTATAAATTCTCCTTAGCTTAATTTTGCTTTGCACGTGTCAATATTCGGACAACACAACGTAAAATCATTCCTTTTTAAAATAAAAAAAATTGTGATTCATGTGAATATACGCGTGGCACTACTCAATATCATCCATCAATCAAAACGCGTACTGGTTTCTCTTCAAAACAGTCAACCAGTTTAAATCAACGGTGATGAAGTAATTATTCTATGGTGAGAGAAACATAGACTAAAAAACACTCGTTTTTAGCGTTGTAGTAAGTGGGGGGAGGGCAAAACAAAGTTAATGTCCCCATTTATAATGTGAGAGAGCTTCAATTCCAAGAAAAGGCTCTCTGAGTCAGAGAGAGAGGGACCTGCCATTCTTGACTCTTTACACGCGCTCTATCTCCTCAATTTTCTCTCTCCTAATTAAGTTGGAATCTCTTGGTCTCTCTCTAGCTCTTTCGTCTTCTTCTCTCTTTCCTCTTTCTCTGAAGTAATAGAAGGTGTGAAAATAAAGAGGAAAAGTAAAAGTTTAAACCAAAAAGTAGTCATTTTGATCATTGCATTTGTGTGGAAATTGTGCAAAGTTTTGTGGAAGAAGCAGCAATGGGAACCGTTTCTCAGGACGCGATCAACCAGTTTAAATCGCTGATGGACCATGGTCAGCTCTTTTTCATCTTTACTTCAATTTGCTTCCATTTTCATTCACAAATCAGTACTCATTTTGGGGTCTTTTTTTTTTTTTTTTGGTTTGATTTCAAATTCTACTTCAATTTGGCAGTTGAAGAACCGCTCAAGAGAACATTTCAGGTTCGCATTTTTCTTCTTTTTATTTTTTGTGCTTATTTTGTCCGATCTGTTCTTCAAAGGTAGGCATTTTGTTCAAGTACTTTCCTTTGGTGATTATTATATGCTTATATATCTATATATATTGTTTAATTGTGGATCTTATTTGTTATTGCTTTACTCTTCTTTCTTTTCTTTTTTTTTTTTTCTTTTTTCTTTTTTTTTTTTTCCCTATTTTTTATTATGAATTATCTGTTTTTCTGAGAAAATGTAGGAAAGTAACTGAAATAATAACCAATCTTAAAAATCTAAGATTTTTTATTTATTCACTTGTGGACCAAGTTAATTAAACCACCACTCTACTTAGTCTAAAACCACTGTTTTGGCTTGATTGATGTGAGATTATTCTAAAATACAAAACAAAGGGAGGAATTCTTTCAATACTTTATTTTGGGTTACTTTTATGAAATTCTGGTTGCTTTTTAGAAGTGGAAATGCTGTGTTTCGAAGGAATTTCAATAGCAGTGAAGAATTCAATACCAGATTCTTACTCTGCAAAATCTAATTGATGGATTTGTTGAGTGTCAGAAATGGGTTTTCATATAATGTGATACTTTAGTGCTTAACTTGTTTTTATGTTGGCTTAATTGGTATAAATTTGAACCTAACATTTAATTATAGGCTACAGTAAGACTTGCTGAGCTTTTCTATCTTCCATGGGGTATAATGTCAGCTTTTTTTTTAACTATTATTATCATATATTCATTGTATTTATTATTTGCGTAATGTTAGTCTAATTTTTTTTTTTTTTGAATCTCTTTCACAAAATCGAATCTGTTGAACATCCATGTAATGCTAAAATTCTACTACACCGGAAATTTTTTGTTCCGTTTTTGGCTGTGCAGTGCTTCTCCCGTGTTACTTGAGTCTGATGGGATAGAGAATTGTGGTTGATATAATGTCAACCTTTTTTTTACTATTATTATCATATATTCATTCTATATTTTATTGCCTACTGTTAGTTGAAAATTGAGTGTATGCTGTTGGAAAAAGAATCTTGTTCCTGTGCATCTGTATTTTGTCTTTGGATATTTTTATACTTATAAAGTTAAACCCTTTTATCAATCTTTTTGGTTGTTTGTATGAAACCTTATTCAAATGTTCCCTTTTTCCATCTGCAGAATGTTCATCAGGGATATCCAACAGAAACTTATGCGCGTTTCTTAAAAGCCAGAGAGGGGAATGTTTCCAAAGCCCACAAAATGGTAAGCTCTTGTTCCTTTTGGTAAATATATTTCAAAACCTGTTGTATGTGATTATCTTTTTTATTAATGAGGTAATGCTTGTATAACATTTCAGTTAGTGGATTGTTTAAAGTGGAGGGTACAGAGTGAGATTGACAATATGTTGGCGGTATGTTCACTTTATTCTTAAACGCTGTATCATCTTAAATCTAAAAAAGTTCTATGAACATGAGATTAATTCAATGCTTGTCGAATGGTTCATTGTTGGACTTTATGTATAACACTCAATTAAAGCTTTGTAAATCGTTGTGTGGTTTAAACATTAAACTGAATTATATCAAGGCTCAGCAATCTTTGTAGGCAAATGAATGCTGGACATTGTTGCTATGGTCTTTGAGTTGAATTATTTGATTTAATGTTAGTTTGAGATTTGTGACCGTATATTGTGAGTGCCTGTATCGACTTTAGGAGCAGCTTGGACTGGAGGAGGTGCAGGATCATAATAGACGAGTCATGTTTTATTGGTAAACATTGAATGAGTTTCTCAGATTTAGTAATTTAAGTACTCGTGTATATGATGGATTTGCTCTGTTTTCTGCAATCCGGTTAGCTAATAGATCTACCTTTATCATGAATCTTCTACACATTTTTTTTTTAAAAAGTTATACAAGAAAAGCATGATGCAGACTGTGTCATGTTTAATTTCTTATATTTAGCCAGCCAGTCACAAGCCTGGAAAAAAGGAGGGGGGCTGCGTGTAGTGGATTGACAGCCACCGTAAAACTTTTGTCTAGTCCAATATGAACATGAAAAGCATGAGCGTAATTTTCATGATTCTTAAATGAACTTTTGAAAGAGATGGCATGGAAGTTTTAAGTTCACTAAATAAGTAAAAAAAAAGATCCCCAGCATTCTCTCCCGCACTCTTTCAACATACTAAACACAACCATTGTATCTCCACCGTTACATGGCTATGTGCATAATGATTGTTCTGGTTGTATATTTTATATGTATATTGGTGATATCTTGTCCAATTAATGATGCACTCCATAAATCAATTAGTTGTTATATTCTGATTTGGTTAGTTCTCTGTGATAGAAGCCCATTGTTCCTACTGAATTGTACAGAGCAGTGCGAGATTCACAACTCATAGGACTGTCAGGTTATACAAGAGAGGTGCTTATTCTTGATCCAGATTAATCTCTTTTCCGGCATTTATTTCTTGTCTATATATCTTGCTACGTCTGATGTAGTAAAATTTGTTTATAAAAATGAAACTGATGGAACTGTGATGTTCTCTCATGTATTCTTACTTACATGTAGTGACTATCTTTTCTGACAGGGCCTTCCAGTATTTGCTCTTGGTGTAGGATTCAGCACGTTTGACAAAGCTTCTGTAAGGATTATTGTTTTTCCTCCAAATTCCCTTTGACATTCATAATTATTGTACTTTTTAAGAAGTATTTGTCAGACATCTATACCTTACCCTATCGGGGAAAAAGCAATGAAGGAGCAGTAATAGGCTGAGAAGCATGGATAGTTGGACATGACACGACATGACAAGAACATGTTGACATGACAAATAGAAAAAGTAGTTGTGGATACGACACGGCAAAGACACAACAATTGAAAATTAGAGAGCGAAATAAAACAAGGATACAACTTAAATTTTTATGCAACTTAAACAATTGATATTCTTTTATGTTATATAATAAATAAATATTTAGTGACAGTAGTCTGAATTTGTAACTCACAAATCATATGACTATAATCACCCCTCTCATAGAGAGGGAGATAAAACAACGATACAACTTAAATTATTATGCAGTGTATGCATGTATATTTGTATATGTATGTGTTTTCAATTATATAGTTGGACATGACACGACATGTTTAGAACATGTTAACATGACAAATAGAAAAAGTAGTTGTGGATACGACACGGCAAAGACACAACAATTGAAATTAGAGAGCGAAATAAAACAAGGATACAACTTAAATTATTATGCAACTTAAACAATTGATATTCTTTTATGATAAATAATAAATAAATATTTAGTGACAGTAGCCTGAATTTGTAACTCACAAATCATGTAACTATAACCACCCCTCTCATAGAGAGCGAGATAAAACAACAATACAACTTGAATTATTATGCAGTGTATGCATGTATATTTGTATATTTATGTGTTTTCAATTATATATGTGTGTGTGTGTATGTACACAGAGTCTTTGATTACTCACTTCCTACTCCCATGCTCAATCTCTCTGGTAATCAGATAGCCCATTCTTTATGCAAAAGTACCTTTTGTTTTTCCATTGATGTAAATCCTTTAGATTTGGAATAGTAACTTCTGCTGCATTATCTCTACTCAAGTGTTAACCATTATTTCTTCTTTTATTTTACCGGATGGGGTCTTGTGAGAGTTGATATGCAAGTATTTCATTCTTCAATAAACTTCCAGTGTATAATTTTATTTCTATTATTTCAGATCCATTACTATGTTCAATCACATATTCAAATCAATGAATATCGGGATCGTGTAATTTTGGTAAGTATTAGTGCATGGAATGTTCGAAGGTCTTTTTACTCGTTGTGTTGACTTAAAACCCTTGATGTAGCCTTCTGCAACAAAGAAATATGGAAGACAAATTAGCAACTGTGTGAAGGTTCTAGATATGACTGGCCTGAGGCTTTCGGCATTGAGCCAAATAAAGGTATACCTTGACACTGTAGAACTTTTTTTTTTCCCCTTCTTATTTAAAATGTGAAATTCCTGTTTGTTCAATAACTAGTACACTGGAATATGTCCTTATCTTTAAGATCTGTGAATTGTTTCTTAACCAACAATAAACTTAACCTTAGTTATTACCCTTCACTTTTACTGAGGTTCTTTGATGCCTGGAACTGCAAGTGAGTTGTAAAGTGATTTATCTTATCTCCATCCTCTCTAGGGATTATGTTTTAATCAAATATTAAAGATTTATCTAGAGATTTGGCAGAAATAAAAGATCAATAATATAATTTTGATGACTACCTACTGACTTTATGAGTGGAAAATATGGATGTTTGTTAAAGGAACAGTGTGTGGGGGCCCATTCCCAAGCCAAAATTGATGAAGTGGATGGATATTGTTGAACTCAAGTTATATTTGAATGAGATAAAGCATATGTGAGGTGTGCAAAAATTCTTTGTTGAAATTTTAATTTTTCAAGATGGAAAAATAAGGCTTGTGACATATTCAACTCAGCAAAGCATTGTCCTATTTTGTCTCTGTGTGAATCCTATTTCTCCAGTATGCTATTATCAGGATTCATTTTCATGTAGGACATGAACTATCCTAAACCCTGACAGTCTGAGTTGATATTAAGTATTCCTGTCCAAAACCCCGATAGTCTGAGTTGATATTAAACTACCTGATAGTTTGCCGGGATAAGTAGCTGAAGTTTTTTTTTTATGTGAATATTCCTATTGATACCAGATTGCTAATTTAATTTTGTAATCAACATGGGAATCCATGTAAAATTTATTAACACTGATGTTTTGTGTTCATGCAGCTATTGACTATTATTTCTACCATTGATGATCTGAACTACCCGGAGAAGACGGTTACGTATTATATTGTAAATGTTCCATATGTATTTTCAGCCTGTTGGAAGGTTGGCCTCCACATTGTTGTTCCTTGTGCTTTATAAGCTTTTATCATCTGTACTAATTCTTAACACCTTTAAATATCTAAGTTTATTAACGAATGAATATATATTTATATGACACTACTCTCTGGGTATTTTACCATGCCATTAGTGTAACGCCTTCAATATTTGCAGGTTGTCAAGCCTCTTTTGCAGGAGAGGACAAAGAGAAAAGTGCAGGTGTTGTCTGGTTGTGGACGAGATGATCTGTTGAAGGTAAGGAAATTTTCTGATGATCTTTAATATTCTGAGAACTCTTATCTTTGATTTTACTTTTTTATTCTCATTGACATGAACCTTGTGTTTTCTCAATTGATTGACTAAAACTAGGAGAAGAAGACCAACTATCTGAATTGTAAAACCAAAATTACTGCTAAAGGATAACAAAAGGTTCAGGACAGCTCAGATGAATTAGCTAGTCTTTTGGCTTACCAAATGGGCAATAGCCCAGCTGGTATAAACCCACCTCCCCAAAGGGGAGGTCGGGGATTCGAGCCTCCATGGAGGCATGGGGGTGTGAGTTTGCTTAACCTTCCAAAAAAAAATTAAAAATGTCTGTGGCTTGGTATATATTTACTAGGGCCCATAGGTGAGCCCTATTAAACCCTAGTCATGAAAGACCAGCCTCTAATTTACTGCACACTGGACCATAGTTCCTGTTTGGTTAAATCTTCTAACAGTGCAAGGTGATTCTAGTTGTCTACATCAGAATGAAAACAGGGACGGCATGGTCATCATGGGCAACATTTTGATTTTGAATTTTTTTTTTTTTTTTTCCTACTTGCAACATTTTGATTCATTGCATAATATCAAGTACATGGTAGAACTGGATAGAACAATAACAAGAAAATAGTTCTGTTTGCCAGAAGCACCAACCCTTTCTCCATTTCTGTTTCATTCCTTTCAATGAGTATTGTTCTAACCTTGTTTGCTTGCATGTTTTGTCTAGATAATGGATTATGCATCCCTCCCTCATTTCTGTCGAAGGGAAGGCTCCGGATCTTCCCGACATTTGGAGAATTCAGCTGACAATTGCTTTTCCTTGGACCATCCATTTCATCAACAACTGTACAACTACATCAAGCAGCAAGCCTTGAACCGTGAACCTGTGAAACCAATTAAACAGGGATCTGTGCGTGTGGATTTACCCGAGCCCGCTGTAGAAGTAACAGAGATTGCCAAAACCCTAGAATCTGAGTTACAGAAGCAGGAGGGGCTCTCTGGCTCGTTCGCGGACATGAATATTAATGCTGATAAAAAATAAAAAGCTCAATGCCTCGCTAACATATGGTGATTGATCCCACATCTATTATCAGACACGACAGTCGCTGTTTTAGATGTCCAATATAGTAGTAGCAGCTTGATTAGCTCTATGTAAATTTTGCAGGAAAATTCTAATATAACTTACGTAACTTTACATTCTACCTGTGTAATCAGTAGTAAGTTGTATCCAGCCTATAATGGCTTAGGAACTATCAAGAGAGGCTTGATGATACTTATAAGTTGATACTAATTTCAGTTGTACCGATATACGCTAATTAGATGGTCCGGCCAATCATCATTGGACACGTAAGTAAAATGCTGAAAAAGTTTATGTATTTTTGACACAATTGCTCACGTGTCCAATGACGATTGGCTTGTGACCAATGGTCTTGGGACCATGTAATTTCTATTCTTTTTTCCTTCTCAGCATTTCGGACAGTTTCAAATTTGTTGCATGGACTTCTCTTAATCTCTTCTGCTTCAGATGAGGAGCTATTGAAGTGTATGGGATATATAATCAAAAACTACTTTTGATTTTGAGTCTACCATGATCAAATACAAGAAATTTGTGGCAAATGTAAATCCCAGCACGACATTGTAAATATATTTTAAAACAAAAAACTTCATTACTACATAATTTTTCGTAATGTATACATTGTCAAAAAAAAAAAAAAAAAAAAAAAAAAAAACAAATTTGTAAATAAAGTACAATTATAATAACATAACGTAATTAACCTAAATATTTCATTTTCGGCAAGAATGCTAATAATTTATTTCTCCCTAGTCGTATGATATATATCCATGTATTTTGTTAATAGTTTAACTGTATAATTAATAGCCCATAGGTATAGGCGGCGATCCGAGAGATGAGTCTTTAAAATCTTGCTTTTGAACCGCACGGTGCGTGTGTGGCCGATACAGGTACTCCAAAAATATATATATATATATATTTGTTAAAATTATACATTAATAATTGAGATAAAAATAGAAAATTTATTTTTTGTTAGCCAGTGAAAAAAATTAGTTATCTATACAAACAAATATGCGACTCTATATATGTTTTATAAAACTTCTACAACTATGAACTCATTTCATCACTTTTTTAGTTTGATCTATTATTTGGATATATTAAAATTTTAATAATATAATATAATGATCATTATGATATCAAGTGCTTTAGTATCATATTTTTTATAACAATTTTTACAAATTTATACGCGTATTTCTACACATCTGAATCCTATTTAACAAAGTTGTACATATAGACGTACCAATTTTTTTTTTTTTTTTTTTTTTTTGTCGTTCCCTAAGTTTTACCGTCCAAACATCAACTAATTCAACTACTCCGTATATAATATACTAATACACTATAAATAGTATATGACAAATATATCTCTCTCTCTATCTCTCTCTAGGAGGAGAAAATCAACTACTTTTGTGCCTCTTGTTATTCCGTGTTCTTAATTCTGAGAGAGAAGGGTTGGTTGGAATTGGTATATGTTTTGCTTTTCTTTCACCAAGTCATCAACCCCTCTTCTTTTGCCAACGGAAACCTGAATAAAACCCTTTCATTTCTATATATACATATATAATATCTATTTTCTATATATTTTCTGATCCATATTCGAGCTGATTCAATTACAGCCATGGCCACGACTGGAAACAAGAGCATCAACGCCAAATTGGTTGGTTTTTTTTTTTGTCTTCTGTTTCCCCCTTTTTGTTGAGATTGTTTTTATGTTCTGTTTAGTCAACTTTGTTATTCTGATTGGTTTACTTTCTGTTCTGTTTTTTTTTTTTGGCTCAGTAGCTCCAATTGAAAGTACTTGTGTTGTTGAATTTCTGATACTTTAATTTTGAAATTGAGACAGTGGTGTCATATTTTTCAGGATTGTTATTTTGCTTTTGGATCATAGTTTATTTAATTTTATGCGATCGCTGATGTGGGTTTTTCTTTTTTTGACCTAGGTTTTATTTTGTTCTTACATTGTGCTCTTTTCGTCTGTTGTGGTTGCTGTTTCTCTTGCATTATCCAGCTGAAAGTTTACATTGAATATTTCTTATTCAGGAAGTTCTGCTGGGTTAATAGGTTTTTAATTAAATTCTGTAAATAAAATTGGAGCATTTCATGATTTTTTGAATTGAAGTGTTTACTACTACTGGCTTTGCTCGATCATTTAGGGCATTTTTTTCCCTTTCAAGTATTTGGTTCCATTCACTTGTGTCTCTCTTATATGTGATTTGTTTTATCATAGTTTTACAATATTAGAATCCATTTATGAATCTGTCCTGGGTGACTTATTCTTCAACTCAAGTTGGATTTTTTCTTCTTCAGGGAGAGGTTCTACTAGAATTAGTTGTTCTTGTCGAATTAAGGTCATAAAAGAATTATTTATCCTTTTTCCTTTTTTGGTAATAAAATTCTACTTACTTATCCCCCAAACCACCCAAAAAAGAAAAATAATAATAATAATAATAATAATTAAAATTTATTCTTATTTATAATTAATAGTAGTAATTTTCTCCATGGTCCCTTTTTTCTTGCATTGGTTTTCATGTTTAGGTCTTGTTTCTCTTAATTAGGTTCCTGTGCTTGCCAATTTATTAAACATGATGTCTGATATATGTTTCAGGTGCTTCTGGGGGATGTTGGAAGTGGAAAATCTAGTCTGGTGTTGCGTTTTGTCAAAGGGCAATTTGTTGAATTTCAGGTGGGTCATCCTATTATGGATCTTGCAGTAATAAATGATATTACTTTTGATTTCTCTTTTAGATTCTGGGATTTGATTTGTGCTGTATAATGTAGGAATCAACTATAGGTGCTGCCTTTTTCTCGCAAACATTGGCTGTAAATGATGCAACTGTGAAGTTCGAAATATGGGATACAGCAGGTCAAGAGAGATACCACAGCTTAGCGCCAATGTACTATAGAGGAGCTGCAGCTGCAATAGTTGTTTATGATATAACAAATCAGGTGATTGCATTCTCAAAAATGCGAATGGTGGTTTTAACGAACATTTACAAATATCTATAAATAATATTATATCATAACGTTGACTGCAAATTTTTTCAACGTCCTTTACGAAGATCGAGAACTTGAAAAACTTTCATTAAATATGAAATCAGTTCGTAGTAAGTCCATTCAACAACAGAAAGATTTATGGTTAATGACTCAGTATACTATTGGTTGGTTTTATCCATTTTCCTGTGTTCTAAGTTTGGTTTGTGCATCCACTTGTCAATTTATGATCTGCTTGGGTGCTTTGAACTGCAAACTTGTTATATTTTACCCATCTAAAGCATATTAATCCATTGTACAATATGGACAAAAATGTTATGTTGAGAAAATTTTCTTTTCAGGTTTCATTTGATCGGGCAAAAAAATGGGTTATAGAGCTTCAGTCACAAGGTAGCATTCAGCATCTAAAGTTGGTTGAAATTATATTTTCTTTGTGTTTGTCCCTTTCCTATTTTTGGGGGGTGGGGGCTTTCTTTTTGCTGTTATGTATAGTTTTTCCAATTTGGTGTGTGCTTGATCTATTTGTTATGCCTTTACTCCTTGTATGGAAAACTTTTGGTCATGCCTTGAGGGTTTTAGGTCTTGTCATTATCTTGGCTCATCTTAATAGTTATAGCATTAAGCTGTTTGATACTTTTGCAATCATGTTGTTTGTTTGTACTCAATATACCGGTACCAACTTAGCTTCTGAATTTCATAGTCATAATCTTTGCTCATTTCTTTGGTGTAAGGTAATTCAAACATGGTTGTGGCACTTGCTGGTAATAAAGCTGATTTGCTAGATTCGAGAAAGGTGGCTACGGAGGCAAGTACATGGAATTTTGCTTTTGAACTACTTTTTGTTTGGTTTGGATTGCTGTATATTTTCTGTGAGTGTCTGCGAAGCAACTGTAGGATTTTTTTGCCTTTTGAACTTCTTCATGGTTGGATTCCTATATATTTTCTTTGGTTGTCTCGCAAGAAAATTGTCAGTTAATATAAACTAAAGCAGCTTGCTCCGATTCAAAGAATTCTAGAGATTTATGGAAGATTAATTCCTTATTTGCTATGACCTTCTTCAATTGAATGAGGTGAAATGGGGTTGGAGTATTTAGAGATTTTAGAGTACTAAAAACTCTGTTGTCTGGAATTATATATCTTAATAACTGAGATGATAGCAGCAAAGTAGGTTACAAAAAAAAAATTGGCGGTAGACATGCTTTGGTTTGTGGTGGATAATGTGGTCAAAGTACTTTTGCATGTCGTGCACGACTAAGGAAAGATTTTTTTACCCAAAGTGATACCATATTTCATCATTGGCACTCCTAAGCTAAGTTTCCCAAAGTGAAATTACTCTCGCAGCACTTGACATTGGAAAAAATTTAGCTGAATTTATTCTTTACACATTTTATTCTAAAATTTTGCAGATCGGTATTGTATTTTATCAGGGCTTTAATTTTATGTACTTTATGTTGATCGGAAGAAGCGTCCGATATCTATTTAGAGATGACTGCTTTAGAGTATTCATTATTCTTTCTTTCTTTATTTCTTTTTATTTTTTTCCACCTTCTCTCTACCAGTCTCGAAACCTTGACCTAGGACTTGGGAGTTGAGACCCAAAGCCAATAGGACAGAGGTAGACCATTCATTAAATGTGCTATCGTACTCATGTTAATGCAACAATAATTGATATGGTGCTCCCTTAACTCATTTTGACACCATTGCATAAAAACCCCAAAGTATGGTGTGTTATTCACTGATATGCAAATCTCTAATGATTATCCAGATGTAAGTTAATTGCGTAGTATTATAAAAATCCTGGGTGTCAAAGTTGTAAGACTACATGCATTTTCCTATTTTTTCAAATCAGTTTTTTTGGCTAGGCAGTTGAAGCTGAGAGCTCGTCAAGGTGTGTTCCCTACCATGGTAAACATCATGGCTGGTTCTAGAATGAGAATGATGTCACGTGACCTGCAGGACAAGTTTGCCACACCATGTGCCGTTTCCGCTTCATTTGGGAATATTCTCCTCTGATTTGTTGGCATATCCTATTAGCTATTTTCTCCAACATGTGAGCTAGCTCTCTTGAGCTGTCCTCTGCACTCATGTTTTTGGGGTTTTTTTTTTAAATTTTCTCTATCATTGCAACACTCTCTCTCAGTTTTCACCCAGCGCACTCTCCTTGGATCTCTATTATCCTACCTATGGAACCTCAATCTCAATCACCATGCCTGGAGTCCTGGACATGTGTGGGCATTTGGTACTCTCCCTGTATTGTGTATTATGCTGAAGAAATGACGATACATTCATTTGCCTCCTAATTAAAAAAGCATTTGTTGATTATAAAATGAAAGAAAATCAATTATGATTCTTTGGCCATGCAATTCAAGATTAATACTACGCTAATGAAGAAGAGTGATGCGGTTTGCATTGAAGGCTAACATAGGCAACAAAAGTTTAGATAGTAAATAAAGAGAAACAGGATTGATGTATCCAACTACAAATAGTTTTGGACAAAAAATTATTGAGTTGAGTTAAGTTGAGTGTATGTATGTTATAGTTGGGGTTGGTTTGGTTGGATTGAATATTTAATTTTGAAAATACTAATTTGTAGGTCATTCACAATTATTAACACACCATCAATCTGATACAATAAACCACTCGAAGTCAAGCAAGCCTTAGAGTGGGTTGGGCAGTTAATATTCCATTTTAGCTAACACGAAGGAATTCAAGGCTATTTTTCACTATTAGCGTGCTCGGGATCCTATTATCATCTTGCACCCTTATGAGTGCTTAGCAAAAGCAAGAGTGAAAGTGTGTTCTGATGCAGGTCTGGGAAATCAATGCTGCTTTCACTATCTCGATGCTGGGGACTCTTTTGAGGTCTTCGACACTTGGGAGTAATGGGTTAGGGCAAGACTGGGGTTGAGGGGTAGGCTATGAAGTTGGGAAATTACGTTTAAGGTTACAAGAATATGGGGGTGCAACTCAGGTGGATTGTATGGATTGAGAAGCCAATCCAAGCCCAACCCAAGTATACAATCCTTAATCCAAGCCTGAGAACAACTTGAACCTGACAAATCCAACCCAAGCATATTTTCCTAAGCTCGAGTTAGGCTGAGGTCGATTAGTTTAGACCAGGGATAAGGTTGAGTTGGGCTCAGCTTACCTGATATTTTAACAATAATGCTATTACTAAAAATAATGTAGGTTTGATTCGGCTTGGGTTTTAGTTGCCAACACATCTTCGTATGCACAACCCAAATTTAAGTTGGGTTAAATTAAAAAAATTCAATCCAAGCCCAACCCCAACAAGGAAAAATGTTGTTCAAGCCTGTCCAAAGTTGGGGTTGGGTTCAGGCTGGGTTTGGGCTGGCCTGTATAAGTTGCACCCTTAACAAGATATGATCATTTTTAGAATTGATACTTATGCCCATTATATCGGAGGCGAAAAACAGATATAATATTTCAAAGATTCGCCCAGGTCAATTTTAATTTCAATCTGTTTTTTTCTCTACAATTAATAAATTTATATATTCAACAACCACCACCTGAACATTTTTCATGTGATTCCCATTTTTTCTGCAGGAAGCTGAAGTATATGCAAGGGATAATGGCCTTCTCTTCATGGAAACCTCTGCTAAAACTGCAACTAATGTCAATGACATTTTCCATGAAATAGGTACATTTCAAGTTTTTATAATTCAAAAATTATTATTGCGTAGCAAAAATTTACTTTAATCCATCAACTTCTTGCACCAATTTATAGTTCTCATAAAAAAGACTTACATTTAGAGCAGCGGATGTGTAAAAACTTAAAACAGCTATAAGCAGAAGTGGCATGACCCTATTGGCTAGAATCTATTTAAAAGAGTGCATTTCAATTATTTTCTGTTTGTTATATATGAAAATAATCTTGAAGTACAACAAATATTGATATGTGCTTCAATCTAATAGTGTCCAGCCATATTGGCAGAAACGTGTTCTTGTTTGACGTTGAACAACAAATTGCTTTACTTCTAAAATTGTAGCACCTAAAACATTTCTATTATTTTTTGGTCCGTTGCAGCGAAGAAACTACCAAGGGTTCAGCCACAAACCAACCCATCAGGAATGGTTCTTATGGATAGATCAACGGAGAGGGCAGCAAGTGCATCTTGTTGCTCTTAAAGTTCTTTGGCACTTCTCATCAATGCTTACATGTATATATTTTTTTTTATCTCACTCAAACATAAGGATTTATCCCTACTTTTCCTAATTTGTGTACTGTTGCCGGAATTGTACATAGTTTCTGTTTGTTTCCAAGCAGGGAATGGTGTGCTTCAATCTTGCTTTTAAATATGTTGTGATACTTGAACATTAAGGAATAAGTGTTCCCAGGAACATAGCTTGATGATTGTACTTTGAATTTTGTGTGTTTGACAGATTAGAAGTGAACATAATTGTGGTTACTCAACAGGAAGGCTGGTAGCTTGATTAGAACAAATTGAATCTAAATAATATGTTGTGTGTTGGCAAGCCTATATTATCAGAGTAGGACCAGATATTGGATTCAGTTCTTAGCAACATGCTAAGAGCTTTTCTCATAATATCTTGTTTTAGTCATTGCTCATAGAAGCTAAAATGTGACTGATGGACTAGATCCATATTAGGTATCTTATTCCGGATCCGGATCGCCTCATGTGGAGGGGACCTTGTGTCTTGATCTGTGCTGGTTTAGATTGCTGGTTATAGTTGTTGTATAAGCGATGTAAAATTGTTAAAACCAGGTTAAGTGGTTAGAACATGAGCAATTCTCACCACTGCATATACATTCAACTCGGTATATATATACCTACATTACTATCATCTTTTCCTTTTTCCTCTTCCTGGTAAAAGGCTTGCTGTGATTAATTAACAACAATGTGGGCATTCCCATATATGCATGTGGATGCCCATATATTACTGTATAATAGACACTAGTTATTTAATATTTTACTTTTCAATCTTCCACTCTAATCTGTTTCTTTGATGCCAAACAATGAGAATATCTCCAGCTCAGTTTTTATCATTAATTCCAAGCCAAATGATTGAAATTTTGCTTTTAGGAACTGAAAAAAAGACTAAGCCAAGTACAAGCTTATTTCATCAATAAGGAAAAGTAAAATACAAAAAGTAGATGCAGAATCCAAACTAAGAAAGCTCAGGCTCTTTGTCAAACCTAGGGCTTGCATAACAGACCCTTCACCTTTTCTTCATCATAGCTAGAAAGCACTGCATAGTAACAGCAAGAACTTCCATTAACGACGGCCACCAGATCACCTGAATTATTTCTTGTGAAGTCCTTGATAAGCTGCAGCGGAGCTACAGTCCATTGGTTGAAACCCAATTCTTTCCTTCTCCAAGTCATAGACAACCTCCACATTTTGCTGTTGGAAGCTCCCAAACACCCCAGATGGTCCAGAATCACCATCATCCATACTTTGGAACAAGAAGCATTTCACCACAGTGGAGTTACTTGGTGCACTCACTGCATAGAAGTGATTTCCTTGGGGCAAGAAAAGACTCACATTGTTCAGGAAATGGAAAGTGATTGAAGGGAGAAGAAGATCATCAGAACTCAAAGTATTATTTGGACAAGGGACCCTATAGCAAAGATCGAACCCTGTCCGCGCCTCAACTTCCTTGGCTCGAGGGTAGGTTATCACTGACTGTAGCTCCGAGAGAAGTTGAGAGTAGAATGGTTGTGGTAGGTGAGTGTAAGTGGTTCCTGAGTCAATCAACATGCCACCATTGCCAAGTGAATCAAACTCCCTTAATCTTGAAGGCACTAGGGTTTTGCTAATATTGCCTATAGTTATAGCCTCTAAACCAATATAATAGTAATTAGGGTACACGGGACTCTTCAACAATGGGGTGAACTGCAAATGGTCTTTGGAAGAAATTGCAAGGTCTCCTATAACTAATGGGCTTGAAATATTAGGGTTGTTAGCAAACTTGAAGGCCAAGAAGCAATGAGAGAAACCCTTTTGGATGAACCCTAATTGCGAAGGGAGAGAGAGTGGGCCTTTACCAAAACCTGCAATTCCTATAGGTTCTCTATATGTTGATCCCACACAACCAAAAGAAAACTCTGGAATCTCCCTAAGTACACCGGGGCGACTTCCATGGACTCTAAGGGTGTCCCTACTTAGTGTCCCAATCACAACACCCTCACCATAGGTATAAGCAAAGGAAGGGCATGGTCTTGAACAGGTGCCCTTGAGAAGGGTACTTAAGGAGCACCCGGCCACGGCGCATGGATCATAGGAGTTATCGGAGCTATGGACACTGATACAGAAGGGACTAGCACAAGAGTCTCTAATGGATGAAGAGGAATATGAAGGAGAGAAAGCAACCATTAACTTGTTGTTTCTATAGTCATCACAGTCCATGCAACCAAAGGATAGGTTCCCACAAGGTACCCAAGTAAGGTCACTGCCAGTGTCCATATAAACTTGAATGACCTGTGGGGGTGTCCCTAAGTTTAGGGATATAAGGTACCCATCCCTAACTTCTCTCAGTGGCTCCATCATGTCGAGCATTTCTGATGGTCGTCTCTTTGAGGAAAACAAAGAGGTCTTTGGAGTTGGAAGGATTGACCTAGAATGAGCCAAACCAAGGACAAGTGAATGACCAGCACTAGTAGTGTTGATTAATTTATGTCCTGCATGGGATGGACTGAAATTGGACAATGCAGTGGCAAGAAAGAAGAAAATGGCGGTGATCATCGTGAATGAGGCTCTCATTTTGGCATATGATCACAAGTCTGTATTTATAGAGGGGACTCTTAAGGATATATATGGTTTAGGGTTGGAAAATAAATAGGGTTTTTGAAGTCATGAAGTGGAGATTAGGAAATGCTGCATGGACTCAGAAAATACCTTTGAATTTTTTTTCAAAATTTTTTATTTCCTTATATATTGTTACCTCCCTAAAAATTTTATTTTCTTGTATCATTAAACCCCAAACTAATAGCAGAAGTTCCTAAATTTGTTTTAATTCATTATATTATTTACCTTTCCAAAACTTTGTTTTCTTATATTATTATACCCCAATTAATAGCAGATGCTCCGAAAAAAAAAATTATTTCTTTCTATTATTACCTTCATAAAATTTTTATTTTCTTATTAATCCCTAACCAATAGCACATATTTAATAGTGGGCCCAAAAAATTAACTCATATTCTCTATCCTTATTTAACTTCTTTTTTTCTAGAACCCTCATTTCACGTTTTTTTATCTTAATCTATTACACCAGCTGTATTAATTGTTAGAGTAATGCTATTATGGCTTCTTTTGGTCATGATTATGTACAAATATTAGCTGGTATTAATTGTTAGAGTAATCCTATTATGGCTTCTTTTGGTCATGATTATGTACAAATATTAAGGCATGAACTCAACTACTTGAAAGATCACTAAACAAGAATTATATAGTTAAAACTTCGTTCAAAAAATTCATTAACAGTACATCACATCAGTTGGTCAAAATTTTACACATTTTTTTCTTGTCTAAATTACATTATTATATTAACTTTAACCAACTCATGTGATATATTGTTATTGAATGTTTTATCAAAATTTTAACTATATAATCATCGTTTAGTTATCTTTCAAGTAATTGAGTTCGTGCCTCAATATTCGTACATAATCATGACCAAAAAAGGGAGAGATCATGAGAAATCTCATGAGGGAGATCTCAAAATAGCATTACTCTAATTATTAAGTATATACCTATTGAACTGGTATGTTATATATTGAAAAAAAAAAAAAATGATGATTTTTAAATAATCATAACTAACGATTTTTTGATATTAATATATTACATATTAAAATCACTTTTAATATGTAATTATAAGAGTAAAATACTAAAAAAAAAAATTTGAGTGAGGTCAATTGCCCCCACTGCCTTCAATGTACGTGGATCTATCCTAGATGGGCAAGAGCACCAGAGGAGAACAAATTAAACATCATAATTTTTATTCTAGTCACTTTAAATTTGCAAATTTTAAAAAATATATTTTTTTTTTTACAAAATAAGAAGGGTTAGAAGTTAAATTAGCAGGTACAAAGAGTCGAAGACTAACACTCTCAAAATTCACCAGAAACACTAACCACTAAATTATCAAAGCATCTGCTGCAAATTTTAAATGCACTAGTGATAATAGAGCCAAGAGTTTACGATTTCTAGAAGAAAACAAAACATCATAGTCGACATATGTAATTTTACATTTTAATACATTATATATTTATACATATATTATACATACACACATTTAATGTAGAAAAGGTGGCAATTTGGCTGCCCCTGGATGGATAGATTCTACGTAGAATCAGCACCAAACATTAATTTAAAAAGGAATACGCGTGCTTTACTTTATCTATATTTTTGTATTTAGTACATATTAAAAGTGTTTTGTGAGTGTGTGTGTGTGTCTGTATATGTGCTTAAGCAAAGTGAAGAGGATCCCATGTTTTAGTTGCATGGAAAGGGATCTTTCTCCCCGAAAAGAACGGATCAGGACAATGAAGACGAAGAAGTGGAGGCCACGTGAACTGCACGTGTAGCTACATCTTGGATTAACTGAATGTACTAACTACTACTATTATTTAACTAATTGGAAGAAATATATATTACATTTGCTATATATCGATCTAATATCTATGCGTTGAGAGACAAAGAGAACCTTCAAGTGTTATTAGGAGTTTGCATGTGCTAGGCTTCATCGTATAGAACTGCGTTTATATATGCTCATTGTGTTTCAATATTACATGCTAAAAAAAATTGATGCCAATTGGAAGAAATATGTTAACAAAATGGCTTGACATGTTAGTTGTTGTGTTTAGCACTCTTAACTTCATACTTGAACACATATAAAGGATTAGTAATAATTTATATTTAGTAATTAATTTTTTTTTTACTAAAATCTTATTCAACGGTCACTATGTTTGATAAATTTCTTGTATATATATTATGTGAAGGGGTTTAAAACATAATTAGCATATCACAAAATACAAACCACCAAAGAAATTTGGGCTTAGGGTCATTCCAATTTGTGATTTTGGGTCCCAATTTTGTTTAGTCAAGGGACGCATTGCGATTCAATTTTGACCCTTAAAATACTTATTTTTTGCTTGCGGGTGTTGAACTATATTTTGGACTTTCTTGTAGTTTAATATATAAGTCGAATAATATTATCAGTTGATAAAAGCAAGAGCTAAGGTTTGAAGGCACTGAAACTTGTAAATTTTCGTGATTTTTGCATTACAATCTTTCACCAAATGAGATGTAAGTTTTGTCGTATCACATAAAATTTTGTGTTATTTACTTGACATGTTTATTTTTCTGTCGTAATCTTTAATTGTATTCTTAATTTGAAGTGTTTATCGTAACACCATTTAGCACTACTGTTCAATTTGTAAGTTTTGAATACATGCAATTGCCTACAAATTACATGCATTATTTAAACTTCTAACTTCACTTTCGATCAAATTCATTAATAAAGATAATGAAAGTACTTCCAAAGGTTTTAGTTGCTCGTGATTTATTTCATTCATAACATGAAATTAAGAAAACATTATTATTATTTTTTTATCACATGAAATAAAGAATAGCCCACCGTCGTTCAGGTCATGCCAAGAACGGGATCGTGGAGTGGATACAACATGCTCATCAGTCTGGCTTGTGCTTTGCTATTTCTGGAAAAAATTATGTATTAAAATATAAACTTAAATAGCAAGCCACTTATATAAAGGTTACAATTATAAGTTTAATTTACAACCACGAAATGTACTTGTTCTTAGTTATAGTATATATTTTTACAGCATAACTAATTAATACTAATTAAATAAAGGTAATGGAAAATGACACCAACTGATACCCAGCATCAGCAACGAAATGCCGCCGTATTGGAAGTCGAATAATATTATCAGTTGGTTGGCCAAACAGTGCTTAACTGTCTGTATTTGTTCTTGTCTTAGATCCCTTTTATTTATATAGAGAGATTACAGAAAGATTAGAGAGAGATTATTCTCTTAACTTTAATTAATTTGTGGCCTAATTACATGCACCATGTTACCATCTTAATTATTTTATTGACTTCCGCAGTTGGTTATGCGGCTAGGTAGGTCACTACTACCCCATTTTTTATTCCTTTCTCATCAACAAAGCTACAAAGTACAAATCCTGTCCAACTAAGTACAAATCCGAACTACAAGATTCCCATTATATATATTTTACATCTACCTTTCATAAAATATTGAATACTTGGGTACTTTGTTACTTACGCTTGTTTTTAACAGTCGTGTTTTTGCTTGGTAATTAATAGCGGAAGGTGTATTGTAGCAAAATAAGATACGAAAATATGTTTAGTAATTTTTGCTGTAATTTGAATAATATCTTATTTGTTTATGAATGGCTTGTTTAGTAGTTATGAGAGAAAAGCCCCGTCCCTTGTTGTTAGACTAAGTGACACCTGATAATGGAAGAACTCAAGATAACGCACTTGCACTCAATGGAATCCACCAAACAAATACAGCAAAGATAACAAGAACACTAATTCTTTAGAAATTCTAGAATTATCTTGAACCTGCCTTGCACATTACAAAAGTAGGACTTATATATGTTAGAAATAAGAGAGAGCATAGAACTCTGTATTGTATTGATAGTTCAGCAATGGAATCCACCAAAGAAATAAAGCAAAGATAATAAGAACACTAATTCTTTAGAAATTCTAGAATTATCTTGAACCTACCTTACACATTATAAAAGTAGAACTTATATATGTTAGAAATAAGATAGAGCATAGAACTCTGTATTGTATTGATATTTCAGTAATGGAATCCACCAAAAAAATAAAGCAAAGATAACAAGAACACTAATTCTTTAGAAATTCTAGAATTATCTTGAACCTGCCTTGCACATTATAAAAGTAGGACTTATATATGTTAGAAATAAGAGAGAGCATAGAACTCACTGATATATGAAATATATATTACAAGAGTACGTGGGAGTTTATATATATAGGAGAGGTATGTCATGTGTGGAGAACAAGTCATTATTATATAAGATAATGCTATATATTATACAATATATTCTAACAATATAGATGGCATGGAACATCCCTCCAAATTCTAGGAACACGAAATCTCAAAGAACAAAATAACCAAAGGTGGTTGGCAGACTTGAAGGCTCTTGGAATGCAGAAAATTAGGTCTATATTTTTTACCTCTGCTCTCTGCCTTGCTACAATCAGTAGATTTATAGTTACCAGATGAACCATATATCAAAAGAAAGGTCTAGAAGTCTAGTTTCCATAACATCAAACAGATCGTAAATCGGAGCTTTGTAGAGGGAAGGGTGATCATTTTACCGACTGTTGTGCAAGTTGTCTACAAAAACGAAAATATATGACTGTTGAGTTTTCCATAGAACTAGTTGGAATTGCCAAAGGTTGTTTCCGCATCCCCAAAATCCACTCGCTTCACTTGAATTGTTTGGAAGCTCTCTGATTCGGACAAACCCAAAAAAGTATGTGAGAGGGGCGAGCGTTAACAAAAAAATGTTGAAGTTAGGAGGCAATAGTAGAGTTTTTTTTTTAATTTTAGTGAAGATAAATTCAAAATTTTGTAAATATATAATTCAAAAAAAAGCAAAAATAGTGGGTATAATAGCAAAATAAATAAAAATTCCGTCACAAGTCCGCCGACTTTAAGAAACAGCTTAAAATTTTGGGGCAAGGGCTTTCTCTTCTTTTTGGAGAAATTACTACAAAGCTAGCCATTTTATTTTTTAAACTTACACCAATATTTTTATCAAACATGTTACATGTTGTCGCTTCCAAAATCTTGCAACAAATTTTAAGTTATGTTTTCAATTACTATTAAGCACAACACAACAAAAATATATATATTTTTGTTTCAAATTAAAATAAAAACAAAAAACGTTTCCCATCACCAAATATTTTTTATTTTATGTATTTGGTACTCAATACTTTCTCTTATCCTTTCCGATTGTGAAAGTTAATTAGAACTTATATTAAGCTATAAGCATTATATATTCATATTTTTGGGTGACAAATTTATATTTATCAATTTTAGTTGTCAAAGGTGAAAATAAAGGAAATGAAGTGAATTAAAGAAAAATAAATTCTCAATCTGACGTGTTACTAACATCAATTTTTTATAAGAAAGTTACAGAAATGATATTTCATGGCTTGAAATGCATGAAATTAAAAAGAAAGTTGTAGACATGAAATGCATAAAATTTATAAGAAAGTTATCATTTTTGGTTTTAATTAATAATGCTTAATGTAAATTCATCAAACTTAAGAAATTATTATTATTATAATATTTTATCTTTTTTTTGTAGGAAAAATTTGTGGAGCATTAGGTGGTTATGAAAAAATACATTCAATCAAATTAATGGAGCTTAAGAGAAAATATATAAATTTCCATTGTGATTACCCACAAAACAAAATTAGAAAAATGGTAAACGAAGTCATGAAAATGGGGCATTTTGATCTTGAAATGAATTTGGTATATATTGACATGGTTACAAACTTACAAGACCTCACAAATCATCTATATATATATATGCCTAATTAGATTTATAAAAGGATCACATAAATCATTTACAAGCTCTTCGGATGACACCTCTTTAATTTAACAAAGTTACTCTTAATTTTTATGTCCAAAATAAAATTGAAGAACACAAGGCTTCATTTGAATGGAAGGATGATCTAATTAATTTCAACCATTTAAGAATTGTAGTTTAAACCTAGAATTCTTAATTTAAATGTAAATTTTAACAACGCATTTGAGTAGATCATGTTTGCATTACAAATAATAAGGTATAAAGGAGTCAATCGACTGAAAAAATATAATTGGATGGATCGGGTGGATCTATATGATATCTATGTTTTTCAATTTTCGACCTACAAAGTAGCATAATATTTCAGTTTCCTATTAATTAATTAGACCATTAATTATTAAGTTAGTTGCTTCGTTTAAGTTCTTTTACGTTTTAGTTTAGATTTTAGTTCCAAAATAAAGAACCGTTAGTTTATGGTTCCGATTTCAAATTTATTGGAACCAAACCGAATCGTACAACAAACTATATATATATATATATATATATATATATATATATATATATATATATTTCAATATTAATTAACAAAAATATATGTCACAAATTTAGAACTACACACAAATACACATCAATTTATTTTTTAGACTACACACAAAGATAAGTTTAATGGAAAATGATTTTTTACTTCTAAATTTCATATTTATTTCACAAAAGCATGATAATAGTTATTTTGCTTTTAGATTAGTCGGTATATTTTATGTATTAATTGAGAGGGTTATTAATTATTATTGTCCATTGTATAAACTTATATTTGCTTTGATAAGCCAAATCTACGTGGTTGGTAGTAAGTTAATTATTGAGTTTTTTAGATATATTAAAAAATAATAATAATAAAGAATCGTAGTTCATACTCGAACCAAACTGATCTTTCGCCGGTTTGGTTTCAAGTTTGAACTGTGGTTCCGATTCTAATTTTGATTCTAAATTTTTAAAAATTGTTAAGATCAGTTCAATTCCAACTTAATCCAAACCAAACCGTGTTCACCCAGTTGTTTCAACCTTTTTCTCCTCTCTTCATTTTTTTTCCTTCCAAATCCATTAACCAAACATGGTTGGGTTGGGAAGATTTTCCTGCAAGCCCAAAAGCCTGCTTTTCTTTTCTATTTTAGGAATGGGCTGCTTATGTTGCCGCACTGGATTAGTGGGCTATTTCTTGCAGTTTATGAACAGGCCCATAAGTTGAAGCCCTAGTCTATATAAACAATTATTTTTTAAAAAAAATTATTAAAATTTCTTTCAAATCCATTCCATTCCAATTGGATTATCAGTACTGAATATAATAATCTTCAATTTTTAATAACTTTAATTTGAGCAATGATAGGGACCGAAAGATATACCCGAATTAAACATCGAATTTGACGTGGGTTGGCCACGTCAGATTCTCACCCTTTTTGCGCGAGGGAGAAAAAGAGCCCATCACGTGTAGGTAAAAGAAAGAAATAAATAAATAAATAAAAGGAAGGTGGGAAGGTGATTGTATATCGTGAGAAGGAATACCGAAAAACTCAAAGTTTCCAGAATTAGAGAGAATTTATCTTTATATATATATATATATTTTAAGGAATCTACTTATCTTTATCTTGTTATATTGTATATTTTACATTTTTTTTTTTCTTTTCATAATTGGTATATTTTAGAATTTACACTGACTAGATACATCAAATTAAATCACTGTATCGATTGCTGCTGGAGAAGAACATTGATTCAAAACCTTAGATAGAGAGAGCCAATCCCGAATCAAATAGTGATGTTGTGAATATTCCCGAATTTTTTTGCGTAATTCAAATACAAGATGATCATATGATTCTTAAAATTAAATAATACCTAAATCTATTAAGAAATTTGTAGAAAAAAAAATCTTTGAATATTTATGATTTATTACTAACATATATGTAATTGTGTGTGTATATATATATATTTCTATTTGTATATATCCATCTTCTTCCGATCATCAGTGTCCATGGCTTCATCACCTTCCTCGTATTCTTTTCAAATAATTTTTTTATTCAATTTATTTTTAGGATGAGTTAAGCACGTGACAGACTCTTTAACCACTTTAAATTCAGTCATTTTTTCAGAGGTTATTCTACTACCTCCTTATCATTTTCTCTTTAATTTAGTAATTCAATAGAATCACAGTGTTGCGTGTGAGAGGACCAATAAAATTTTTACATAACAGTGTAACATTAATAATTGTTAATAATTCATTCAATTACTAAAATAATATATTATTATATTTATATTTTACATATTATCTTATATCTTCGCCAAACAAAATACTCGGCATTTGATATATGGATCACCAAGGAGTTGAAGATCAAATAAATTTCAAAATTCAATACGGATTTAGTTTATATTGTGATACACTGTATTATCAATCATCCAATTTATTTGGATTTAACTAAAAAGCTAATCCGAATGTTGGGTGTACAGAATTACAGTGTTCTCACCTACATAATGTACCTTTCTTAATATTATATGACTATATCACTAAGTTTCAATGCACACAACCAGAACCATAAGCCATATAGACCTTTCAGGTTGAGAAAAACGACGAAGAGAGAAGGAGCTCGTCGATCAACCGCCGGAGCTCTAGCCGGAACCTAGCGCAGTGAGTATTCTGTTTGTATATACTCCCTCCTTTTCCTTCTCTTCTTCCGTTTCTTATTCTCCATTAGAAACCCTAATTTTCTATCTTTCACAACAGAAGTTATTTCAGATTTCTTCTCCCTAATCTTCTTCACTCTCTCTCTCTCTTCCATTTTGCTACAATGTAAAGGTTGAAAGTTAATTGTACCTTCAATAACAACTTCTTTGTCGCTGTTTTATAAGTATTATTATTACTAATTAGAATTACCCAAACTGTGCTGTTTAAATGTTGAATTGTTTTGTGTGATGATTCTGTACAATTGAATTAGATAATTGTATTCATCTGCAATTTTTTATTTTTATTTTTTTGTGTGAATAAAGAAAAAGAATTACATTCTGAATTCAGTAAGTTGAATTGCTTAAGTAAAAATTATAATCTGATTTAGGTTGCAGTAGTGGCACCCAATTGTAGGAAATTGCTGTGGATGTAGCTGGAGAACTAGTAGTTGTATTTAATAATGTGCACTTAATTGTAGTCTGAACATTTACTTTATCAAGGTGATTTATTGGCTCATATTTTGCACATTTAGTTGTCAATATAAATCTCTACGCTCACTGAGTTATTGATGATGTGTGAGTCTATTGTTGATATTCAGGAAAAAAACTAGAAAGTATATATAAATATACATATATATTTGTTGATCCCTCTCTCTATGTGATTAATGAATTTTTCAATCTGTGGTAATTTCATGGCTTATAAAACTGCATAATGCTGTTGGTCCTGATTTCGCTTGATTTTTATGGTAAAAATCCGGTAAGTTTGTTTTTACAAGGGTTTCTGAAATATGAGACAGTCCTTACAGTAAAATTGAAAAGATATACAAATGAATATTTATTGGACTTTAGGGCAATTGGAAAACCTCTCAATCTTGACATTCTAGTCACTTCAGCAGTGAAATTTGTTTAGACATATCTCTTGTTTGAATTTTTAATGAAATGCCTTCCTATATTTGTGTATAATAGCTCCATGTAGAAAATTAGAATCACCAGAGTCCCTTATTTTAACAACTAATTAAGTGTTTTTATCATTTGAATGCAAATAGTTATTCAATCTTCAGCTGCAGTTGTGCCTTCAATTCATTTGGTGTGATCATTTTCAAATCACAGAAAAACTTGTGGCAACCAATTTTCACTAGTAATGCACCGGTACACTACAAAAATGGAGATTTTTTTAAATGTCTGCTGTTGATACTTTCTAAGGAATAAATTCCTTTTGATCCCAAAAAGATGATTCTTCCAAGATTTTTAGTTTATTAAGCCCTTATGACCTTTTATGTTTTGCTAGGACTCATACAAGATGTCCTCCAGAATTGCTCAAATCCGCCTTGTGAGTTCACATCCGCAAGTTTATGAACCATGCGATGATTCATTTGCTTTGGTTGATGCTCTGCTAGCTGACAGAACTAACTTGTTAGAGCATCGTCCAACACTATGCATGGAAGTTGGTTGCGGTAGTGGTTATATCATCACTTCTCTAGCTCTTATGCTTGAACAGGAGGCCTGTGGGGCGTACTATATTGCCACCGATATCAACCCTCACGCGGTGGGAGTGACCCATGAAACTTTGAAAGCACATGGAGTTCATGCAGAGTTGATAACCACCGACATTGCATCAGGACTGGAGAAGCGGCTTGCAGGCTTGGTGGATGTGATGGTTGTGAACCCACCTTATGTGCCAACATCTGAAGAGGAAGTGGGTTGTGACGGGATTGCCGCTGCTTGGGCCGGAGGGGAGAATGGCCGGAGTGTTATTGATAAGATATTGCCTGTTGCTGACAATCTTTTGTCGGATCGGGGTTGGTTGTACATGGTTACGCTTTCAGACAACAATCCTTCACAAATATGCCTTCAAATGAGAAAGAAGGGTTATGCTTCTAGAATTGTGGTTCAAAGATCAACGGAAGAAGAAAATCTTCACATTATTAAGTTTTGGCGGGATTTTGATAATGAAATGGAGGCAACTGACAAGGTGACTATGAACAAAGCGGCTCCTGCATGTATCAAGGATTCTTTACTTTCTCAATTCAATCGATTGTCGTTCTGGAAATATACCTAGTGTGTTAAAGGTAAAGGTGCGATTTCTTCATTCTGGATTTATAGTTGTCTTTTGTTTTGCTTTTCTATTTACATATTGTTTCCCCCGAGGCTATTTAGATATTGTTAATGACATGTAGGACATAAATTTTTTGTGAAATGTGATGACACACACATCGTTCCTTTTTTCATGTTACTATGGGATTCGATACATTTACTGGCTCATTCCTACTTTTCGACTACTTAACGAGTTACCAGCTTTGTTAAAAAAGCTTCTTAGACTAGAAATGGCTCATTAAGATTCTGTAGTCATGCAATACATGATAATGAGACCAAACAAGAAAATGTAAGCAAGACTCTTTTGGTGAAGTATATGGATGAAAAGATAATGGTGAAGTGGAAAGCCCAGTTAGATTACATCAATAAGCCTGAAATAAATACTTGTGACTGGAATCAAATGACTGGAAAGTAGTCCTCAATGATCTGTTTGTTTTATTTTGCTTAGCTATTTATTTTGGCTTTGTTATCTCTAGGGAAATGGAAATGAAATCTCATTTAGATTGCGCAGTTGGTCTGGGTAGGAAATGCATAATTTTGGTTCCCAGGTTTATATGTTATATGAGAGTATCGGCTGGGTGTGAAATTAATATATGTGTATACAGTATTACAGCCAACCTAATTTCCAAAACCTAACTCCACAAAGCCGTCGTATCAATTGAGTAGACTGCATGAATCATGTATTACAATTCTACTTTATCTAGGACATTTCCTTCAAAATTACTTTTTCACTTCAAGGAATTCTGGGGTATGTTATTAAAAAATTATAGAACTTGTTGCGCTGGTGCACATTTGTCGTGTGAGTTTACTAGTAATGGGCCTGTCAACACATCAGAATTTTGATTGAGATCTGGTAGTCTGAAATTGAATGGGGACGGTCTCTTGTGATATATGATTAGTTAGTATTTTGAATCAATTAACAAGCAAATAGAAACTAGACAGATAGATGATACTCTCTTCCTCTAAAATTGCAGTTTTCTAATAAATCTATTGTGTTTAAAAGGTTATAGCGTGTGTGTGTGTGTGTGTGAGAGAGAGAGAGAGAGAGACTTATAAAAAAGACAAGGATCCTAGAGAGAGAGATAGAGAGAGAGACTTATAAAAAGACAAGGATCCTCTCCAGCACCGGACCTCTCCTGCACAGAATTTAATGAGTGTGATTGAATTGATAAATGGGACCCACTAGTAATGATGCAATCTCACCACTAGATTCTGTGTAGGAGAGGTCCAGTGCTGGAGAGGATCCTTGTCCGTGACTTGAAATGATCCTCAACTCCTACCTTCTATATAGCTGCAGCATTGTGTTCAGAAACTTATTGAAACGAGGTTCATCTGCTTTCTCCGCAGGATGTCCATGTTTTCTCAAGCGCCAATTCCAATCATGATTATAACTGATTTTCAGGTTAATAGCCTAATCGTTTGGAGGGTCTCATTAGTTCTGTCAACTTGTATCAGCTGTTGTGCTTTGTCAACCCTAGCACATCCAATTTTGAATGTGCATGCTCTAAACAAACATTAATTCTTTGATCAAATCATTTGACAGTCCTTAGGGTACTTGCTCTATAATGCTGCTACTTTCATGTGCTCCAGACTGTTGATAACTGCTTGAAAACCTGGTTCGTGCTAAATCACTTATTGCATATGGGTGTCTACTAGAATACCTCCTAATCAACCTCACTATTTGCCCCCAGTATGTGGATGGAGTAGGTTGTAGAGATAGGAGGGTCCATTGGGGTGCCCGTGGTCTAAGCATGGGGTTCAGAAACAGAACTGGTTGTGTTTGTTCGATCGTAAAATGTAACACTAAAGTATTTAATACAATTTTTATAGGAATGACACCACTGTCGCATTATAAGCAACGATCTCTCTTTTCTACATAGAATATTGAAATTTTCAAACTTAATTTTGTTCTAATCCCACTGTTCTGCCTCTTGAGAACTTCTAAGAAACTGATAAGGTACTTGTCATCTTTTTAGGTCATCCCATGTAAACTAATCTTTAGCCGTCTGGTTCATATGGAGTTCTGGTGTTGGGTGGGTTGTCTGTGTACTAAGGGTAAGCATTTGGGTGAGTTAAACAAAATGCTAACTCAAGTGTTAACCTTCTGAGTTAGTGTATGTACTAGCTAAAACTCAAAATAATCCCGAAAAAAATAAATAAAAATAAAAAATTGTTGAAATTGAGTTAAATTTTAGGGAGAGCACATTTAAAGAATTCCAGCCCTCTAAAATAATTTAATTAAGACATGTTTATCAAGTGTTACCCTACCTTTTTTTTTTTTTTTTAGCAGGCTCGAATTCCTCCATTCCTTACCATACATGATGTCATAATTTCACTACATGAAATAAGTAAGAAGAGGAATATAACAAAATAGGTCTTGTAGGGCTCAGAATCCAAACCCACCTAAATATTTCATTGGGCCAACAATATTTTCATATTCCGGCTTCATGGGCTTTTGTATGGGACAAAGATGTTGGAGTTGGTTGGGTGGATCAATCAGGGCTTTTCCCCCTAGTTACTATGTAAAACAGAAAAAGGAGTTGAGCCTACTATATTTTGAACTATTCAACATGATCAAATCATGGAGTGCCAATGGAAAAGTGATGCAATCCAATTTAAAATTTTGCATTCCCACTTGTATTCAATCATCCTTCTTATCACCAAGCGCCTTGTGGCCTAATTGTATCTCCTTCTCGCCCTCTAAATAGTTTTCGGATTGAATTCAAGAAAACACACGTATAATCACACTAAGTATTACTATTGAGTTTTTAGCCTGGATGTTATGATCTTTCCTTCTCCTTGAGAGTTACAATCCTAAGTGACATGTTATGAGTATGATTATGATTGTGTGTGTTTGTTTTAAGTTTTAACGTCCGGGCAGGAAAAAAAGAAAAAGAAAAAGGAATTGTAAAAGTTAAAAGTTTGATTGGAAGAAAATTGAAGATTACTTCAAAATGAAACAAGCCTAAAAATCTTTAAGAAATGGACCACAAGAAGAGCATCAACACCACGGATCACGCCTCTACTCGAGTGCTCATCCCCGCCATTAGTTTCAAATAGAAAGAACACGGTGGTGGTGGTGGTGTTAGTGTTGGTTAAAGTTAAGAGGAAACTAAAGAATGAAAAAGTGCGAATGGCATTATGATTGTGTTGGTTTTTTGTTTAAATTTTGTGGGGCTTCACTTATAATATGACATCTTTTACAACCTTACTTTTTTTTACCAAACACCCTCCTCCACTTTTTTCTGTCCCATTTTTATTTTTAAAAAAATAAAACATTTGAAGTGGTTGAAAAATGATTGGAGATCCGTTCTGAATCTCAACAGTAATTGGGAAAGGGCGGGAATTAGTGCGTTTTGAACGACACTTAAAGACACTTCTTAGTGCAAATCTTTTTCTTAATCTTACTCCACCGAGTAGAACCATAATTATAATTATATTCTACCACATACTTTGTAATTTACAAGGTATGTCCATCTTCCTGCCAAAGATATATGTATATATAAATATATCTATATGTAGCAGATGTATTCCAATAATCTATTCATATTTATATTTTCATATTAGTGGAACGCCTTTATTTTTGTCCCATATTGCAAGAAGGGTCGGCACTATCTTCTTATTCAAAAATTGAAGTTATTGGATAATATTACATATGACATCAATTCCTATTAATAAAAACTGTTTGTTAATAGTGTTTCTGTACCTTCTAAAATAAAAAGTTTAATAGTTTTAAAAAAAAAAACCGTTAAAAAAAATTAATAAAAAGTTTAAGATTCAAGTTATGTGGAGACAAATGAATGTTTAAAGTGTGCTTCTTTCCACGATAAGAATAAATAATATAAGGATTTAGAAAATACTACACTATTCCATGTGGAATTCTAGAGAAAGTGAGCTCATGCGACCAAGTTTAGAAATTTTCCCTAAACTTGTAAGTTAAATTATTTTTGCATAACACGGCACCACTCCTCTAACCTGGATAACATGGTATCTCATTTTTGAAATAGAGGTTGAGAATTGTTTTCGATAAGCAACTTACTAATGAAAAGTTGCTTATATCTTGGTGTTATATATATATATATATATATATATATATATATATATATATATATATCTTGCAATGAAAATGGAATTTGCAACCTAAAAACAAATAAAAATTGTGAATTCTAACCATCCCTTCTGTTGAATTCATTCAACTAAATCAGAATGTATCATTTCTCTATAGTCCCAGTCACGGCATGCGAATAAAGGTTATGGTCCCAAATTAACTAAATTAATTTGAAGCAATGTCTGCTGGGTCCATCCTACACCTAGTGCTAGGCTTGTTACACCTTCATTTGGGCTGCCTTTAATTTAGGCGGTTATATGGATCAAATTAGTGTGTTCAGTTTTGGGACTTGCTTTCGCTTTACCCTTTTGGTAGTACAAGCATAGATGATGTACAAAATGAATAGCGAGGGACCCCCCAAGAAGCAAGTGGGACCCCAAAAATGGGCCCCATTTGTTGCATCTAATGAATGCTGATTTATTTTTACTCCTAAAAAAAAAAATTAAACAAATCGAATGTCCTAGATTTCCGTTCTTATAAATATGGAAGAGGTTGTTGTCATTCGTGACCTTGGAATTTAGCGACCTTACCTTTATATTAATATTAAGACTTCTCATCAAAATGCACGGTTGAATTTTGTACTATCATTTAGACATAATACACTCATATTAATTTTGGAAGCAATTGGTATGTCATATGTTCCACATGAAATCAATTCCATGTAAAAACTAGTGTGCTTTTGATTTTATGTCAGAAGTTTGTTCAGTCTAAACTTGTTATAACTTTAACTGGATGTGACACTCAGCTAAAAGGCAAAACCAAATGACAATTTTTTGTACCAAAAGTGTGACCAACCAACTAAATTTAAACAACCCAAGAAGCTCTCTTATAATTATAACTTTCATAATAGTAAACAAACACTTCGTTAATTCTATTTACAAAATCAAACTATTTCATAAATATACATATAACTCAACCAACAAATGAGAAAATAGAAGGAAAAAAAAAAAAATGTAAAAGAATACATCTATAGGTCGGCTTAGAAGCACAGCACATACTCGAATGTCTTAATTCATCACGAGTGGCAACAAACGTGCATTACGGTTCAACTCAACTAAATAACGTATTTCTATCTTCTCTAATCAGTACGATGATGATAAAGTCGATAGAGTTGTAGCAGTTGATGTTCTTGGCGATGTTGTCGCTTTTTTCAAAACCACCGTCGGTAAAATGCTAGTCTTTCTCCTCTCTTGCTCCTTAATCAGATCTCCTGCAAACATCTCCAGCTTCTCCAAGTTTGTGCTCTCAGCCAACTTCTTCCCTTTGAATAGTACAGACTCCACATTTTTCTGACCTAACATCTCTTCAGCAATGCTCAACATGTCACCTTTCTTGCTTTGCTTTCTCATTTTCTCTAACCTTTTAGCTACAATTCCATTTGCCTGAAATAATTTTTCATGAATCAAGTTATTACTATATTATACATTTTATATATCAAAATCATATCTAAAAATATAAATGATTTTTTTTTTTCTTTTTCCTTCTGAAAAAATATTAATTTGACAATAAACACTTTTAAAATTTTACTTAATTTAATAGAAGCAATGTAATTACCTGAATACGAACATAATTACTCGTCCTGGAATCACCAAATGCCATTGAAACTGCTTGATCAACCTACATTAAAGAAATGAAATATTTAGCTAACCAATAATTGTATTATATATATAATTTTATTGGCTATAATTAATAGACTTATTGGAGAACAACCACCAAAGAGGGTATATTTGGAATTTTAATAATATTATTCAACCGACAAAATTCTCCTTCAATATTTTCTTAATTAAAAATGCCAAATGGGAGTAGTTATAAACATACCATGTCGGAAGCTCCATCTCCGGCGATCTTAACGAAGCCCGCCGGCGAAGATGTCAGATCTCCAGCACTGAAATCTGACTCCCCATTACCCAAAGAGACAACTAACAGATCCTCGACGCCGTTACAGAAAGGGAACTCCTGTTTGTTATTGAGCACGTGCGTGATAGCGGCAGACGTCGGATTGTTCATGGCGACCCCACCACCGACGGCCACGATCTTCGTCCTCTCGTCCACCGATCTCATCTCGACCGCCCCCATCACCGCCGGATGTGCCGACGTGGCCAGGCTCACGTCGCTCATCTTGAAATCATAGCCGTCCATTTCCAACGCGTCAGCGCGGGAAAACACGAACGGTGCGCGTGACGTGAGATCGTAGCAGGGAATCAACACCGCCTTCAACGTGTTCTTCAACGTGGAGTCACCAAACACCCTCCGAAACTCCTTCTCCGCCTTCGCCGGTCGGAAAAACCGCCGGAGGATCCCCACCGGCGACGACCTGAAAATCTTACCCCTGTTCTTGGTAACGAATTTAACCGCTTCCTCCGCAGTAAACATCGGCCCACCGTCGTTTCCCCTAGTGAAGAGAAGTGCGGCGAGGATGCCTCCGGCACCGGACCCGGCAACGACATCAAAGTAATCAGCAATGCAAGCATTTGGGTTTCCGGATTTTCGACGGAGACCAGACTCGAGGTGGGCGAGGGACTTTGCGGCGAGTAGGCCGTCGGTGGCGCCGCCACCGTCAATGGAGAGAATTCTGACTTTTCCGGCAATGGGTTTGGCGGATTTGAATTGATCAACGGGAATTGTGTGTTTCTGGTTGATTGAGAACTTGGGTTCATCATATCCGAAGAGGAATTTGTTTTCGAGTATAGAGAAGATTTCATAGGTGAGCTTATCAACGTCGAAGTCGGAATCAAGCATAGAGACTGTTGATATCGCAGCCATTTTATGGTAGTAGAGTTGAATTATGGATGTGAAGTTGATGTGAGTGTGAGTGAATTGAGGGTAGAGAGAGAAAGTGAAAAGGATTGAGAAGGCAGGTTGAAGAGAAAGGGAGAGCAGTGGATGGGTTTATATAGTTGGAAATACGTACGGTTGTGAATTCGTTCGTGCGTTCATTGTTTAATTTGTGGTGCAAGTAGCCAGGAACATTCCCTGGGTCGCCGACTAATCGGCTGCGCGAGTTTTTGCCATTACCAAACTCAAGCTTTTATTTACTACTGCAATTTAATTTTAATTTTTTTTTTCTATATATATATATATATATATATATATATATATATATATATATATTTTTTTTTCCCTTTTTATTATTATTTTTTCCCTCTACTAGTGAGTAGTGAGACTAATGGGTGAAAACATAGATTAAATTTGATGAAAAATTACTATATCGTTCCCACAAACTATGTACATACATATATACACATTTATGTTTTGTGTTAAAAATAAGAGCAAATTGCACCCTAAAAAGCAATTTTGAAATCTCTCTGAACTATTCAATTGTTATAACTTTATAACCAATGTTAGACTTTATACAACCCTTGATAATACACGAAACCTCCATTAATTAAAAATTTAAAATCTTCTAAATTATTCAATTGTTGCAACTTTGACAAGTGATTACTTGTTTTATTTATATTTTTTAAAATTATTTAATTCCATATTTTATCTCACCACTCACAAAATAAACAACCCTTTGATTAACATTTTTCAACTATATATCTTTTTTTGACATGTAGAGAGATTGGTATTATCTTTTTATTCAATTTCGAATTTAGTTATTCAAACTCAAGAACAGGAAAGAAAAATTCAAACAAAAGAGCGGTTAGTACATTCTCTTTTCCTTGTTTTTCTCCTTCTCGTTTCCTTTCTCTTCTGCTTATCCAATTGATTTTCTTTTTTAGGGGATAAAATTTAGCAAATCTAGCAAACAAGACCGTCATGCAGTTAAAAAAAACTTGATTTGGACTGAATCTTGCTTAAACCTCAACAGTTTTACACTTATATCGAGATTCAATTTCAAAGAAGAGTCATACATGGAGTATTTTTAAAATTGCCATTCAAAATTAAGATTGAAACTCGTTAAATTGAATTTCTTATCAGATTCATTCATTTTGTGCCAAATGTCTATTTAGTAAGGACCATTTCTAGCGTTGAAGAGAGTCTTACACTTCATCAAAAGTGAAGATTGTATCATTTTATATGACTATTTAGTAATTCAATCTCCACTTTTAAAAGAGCACAACACCCTGTCCGATCCAAGGGATTCTAAGTCTAATGTCTACCATAATATCTATCTTTAAAATATTCAGTTTTTAACTCGAAGTCCATTTCAAAGTGATGCAACCAATTCAAGAAAACCAAACATAGGTGCGTATAAAACTCTGCTTTGATAGTGACTAGTATTAATCTTCCATATACATTCAAGTTAAATTAAGAAAAAGTTCAATAACACAGTTTTCGCAATTGCATGCTCAAAATCGTCTATTCTATATTGCGTGTATCCATTAGCAAGATTTAAGGTCTTATTGTCCGGTGGTATTTGTTCTACCTATTAAAGTGGATGATAAGAGTTTGAGTCACTAAAGGAGTAAAGTAAGCGTGTAAAATAATATATTGTGTATGAGTTTCTTACCAATGACAAAAAATTAAAAAATTAAAAAAAAAAAATGATCTATTTTATTCTATTCGTTTTAGTCATTAATACGTAGTATGTAACAAGATTCCATTGCCGTACTAGATGTTAAAAACTGCGTCAGTATACCGTGTAACCTTAGTTGCCGGTAATTATTTATGTTTCGTCCACCAATGTTAAAATCTTCATCAAATTCACTTTCTATTTCAAGCTTCCAAGTCCATGTGGGTATTAAAGTATCTGCGTCAACCTCTCTGAATTTTTGCTGTTTAAAACTGTTACTTTAGTTTTTTCAAAACTGACGTTAACAACTTTGACTCTCTGAAAACAGGCACTCCACCAGCTCTCCAAATTTTTGCTTTCTAAAAAAAAAATTAAAATTAATTTTTTTTAAGAACAACTTTTCCCTAATTGGTGTAATTCTAATAGTTATATTTCTAACGAATGCATTCCATGTACTATAATCTTTAACCAAATGACCAAATGGCCAAGCAGTATCACCCCTTTCTCCCCAGAGGGGAGGTCGGGGGTTCGAACCTCAGTGAAGGTAGGGTGGATTTGTAATTGCTTTAACTTCTAAAAAAAAATACTATAATTTTTATTATGCAATATTTTTTAAAAATTAAAAATGATGAAATTGTTTCTTAACGACAAAATAATTAAAAATAATAGCTAAGATTGAGAAAATAGGAGATTAAGTAGCTTGAATGACAGAGAATTGAGATAGATTAGATGTAAGGTGAATGGTGGTAGGAGTTGGAGTATTTATAGAACAGAAATGAATTAAAAAAAAAGGGTAAAGTGCATTAAACCCCCTTAAACTATTGGTCATTTGCAAGAAACCCCCATGAACTACAAAAAAACCCCTTGAACTATGATTTTGTTGCAATTTACCCCCTTGAACTATTGGTCATTTGCAAGAAACCCTCCTGAACTACAAAAAACCCCTTTGAACTATGATTTTGTTGCAATTTACCCCATTCAACTATTGGTCATTTGCAAGAAACCCCCCTGAACTACAAAAAACCCCCCTAAACAATGATTTTGTTGTAATTTACCCCCTGAACTATGATTTTGTTGCAATTTACCTCCATGACATCGGCTTCTGGCACCGTAAATTTTGAAAGACCAATTTACCCTTATAACACACTGCGTCGTTTTAACTTATACACTTCTTACATTTTTTTTTTTTCTTACCAAAAGATACTTTTCACCCAACACAACCCAAAACAGAGAGTTAAAGAAAGAAAGAAAAGAGACCAAAGAAATCCGAGGTCGGTGGGATGGCTTGGTCTCGGATGATGGCGGCTTGTTCGCGAAGGACTCGGCTGTGATGAGAGCTCGGTTGACTCGGCCATGAACTGTGGAGGTGGCGGCAAGCTCAAGGGGACTCGACGGTGAACTGTGGACTACTGTGTGCTCGAAACACGGACGACGTTGTGCTCGGCTATGGAGATGGCATGTAATACCCCTAGATTTAAAAGGATATTCCTGGTATTTAATGTACTGTTTAAATAGTATTTTAATTTAATTAATTGTTTAAATTGTGTTTTTATTTGATTAATTGATTGATTGCTGTTAATTTAAATTATTTGTGTGCATTTTTATTAAATTAATTGTTTAATTGCTTATTTTGTTTGATTTATTTGACCTAATTGAATTTTGTTATTTTAGTTGATTTATTTGGTAAATTATTTTTTTTATGATATGTATTTTCTGTCTTTAATTATTTAGTTGTATTTTTATTTGGCTTTTATTTATTTAAGGAAGTTAAGTTAAAGATTTTAGTTATTAAATTAGGGTATAGTTTTAATTGTATAATGGAATTCACGTATGTAGCCGACACTGTTTTAAAACGTAGATGTTGTTATGGGCCGACTACATTAGGGCTCTGTCTATAATTATACACGGATTAGGGTTTTAATGGTAAGCCTATAAATACTCTGTTGTGTCTTAGCCTAGGGTTTTAAAATTACCAAAAGCTCTGTCACGTCTCAAAGTTACAGAGTGAAAACAGAGAGGGATTTTGTAAGGACAGAGCATTGTAAGGTTTGTCAAGGGAAGAATAGGGAAGACCAAGGAGGTGTAGTGGTGGTGGACTACCTAGAACCAGAAGAAGGTTGGATAGAGGGTTGTGTTGCCGGAACAAGCAAGGGCTGAACAGGCAAGTTCTTCTCTTTCTCCTTCCCTTTTGGCTTGTGTTCTGTGCACCTAGATAGTCTCTAGGGTTTAATCAATTAATAATTGGAAGTTATGTGATTAATATATGTTATTGACAATCTGTTTGTTTTAAAATCAAATCTATTTAAAATTCGTGCATGTCTGCTTCCAGTTTTGTTCCTTTTAAGCATGATGAGTTCTGTTGTAATTTAGTTTACTGTACTGGCTTTTAGTAACTGTAAACAAATCATAGGGATGTTAATGGGATGTTCTAAGACCTTAGGTACAGTATTGAAGAGGAACAGAGGGGATGGAATAGAACTGGGGTTACAGATTAGTTTCAGTATTGTTCTTCAACAATGCTAGTTTAAATGGCTTTGTTTAATCTCTGTAATTGATTTTAAATTGTTGTGAACAAGTCATGGAGATGATATTAGGTGTAAATAGGACTCTTAAACTCAGTATTAAAGATGAACAAAAAGGCCGGAGACGGAAAAGACAAAGCAGAAAGCAGTTTAGGGCTCTCAAGAGGGAGAGAGCCGGCTCCATGAAAGAGGGAGCCAGCTCTAGGAGTAAAGAGCTGGCTCTAACCCTTTTGAGCCGGCTCCATGTTGTAATGGAGCCGGCTCCATGTGAGTTTTAGAGCCTGCTCAATGTTTTGAAAGAGCAGGCTCTCTAATTTTGGTGAAATTCGGATTTTTCAGCTACTGTGTGAACACTTGGGGTTCTAGAATAATTTTGAAACTTTAATGGGGGTTTAAATAATTAGTTTAACATGTAATTAAAGTCTTGAATTGCATAAAATACCCTCTTTATATTAATGGAAATAACAGTGCGCTAATTAACAACTTTGCGTGCAGTTATCGACTGGAAGGTAATAAATTGTCTAGTTTTAATTTGATAATTTAGGATGCTAAAACATGATTCTAAATTAAGTTTTAGATGCATGGAGAAGTCTTTTAGTTAATAAATTAGACTTATAGATTAGTGTACGGCCCTGTGTTGAAAGGAATAAAACAGAGTACAAGTACGCAACTTAGTACGCTGTTACCGGATGAAATGAACTAAATTGTTTAGAATAATTTTAACAATTTATTGGACTATAATATGATTATGGAATGGATTTTAAATGATATATTAGATTGATCTATGCATGTCTGGATGTTAGTTGTTGAATTATGAAATCATTCCTTACAACTATATGGTTTAAATGCTTGGATTTAATTGCAAATACTTGGATATTGGTTTTGGATTATAAATCGCTAAA